GGCCCACTATTATATCCGAGGCTTGGGGAATCTTTGGCCAGACCTCACTCGCTAATACGGCCAGCGAAGACGGATTTCTGAGCCTGTACGTGGCGCTGGCTACGAACCTGCGATATTCTCAACAATATTCGTAGAGCCGATTAGAAAACGCACCTTTTTCGAAAGGTAATCGAGGCGATGCACTTTAATGCTAGCCGTATTTTTCGTATCTGCCGACGGAACGAACGACGATTAGAGATACGGAACAGGTATTACAACATACTCTTTCGTACATAACTCGAACCCGACCCTACCGACTAGCTCGATGACTTTATCTGACGACTGAATTCGACCCTTTTTCTCGAACCCGATACGATGAGCAGTATTCACGATCGATTATACAAGGACGCTAAGAGAACGAAGTGGACACGGTGGCGGCCTAGCTCTCGGAACTCTCGGGATTGCTATACGGTGGAGGAACTTTTAATAGAGGCTGGCTCGAGGACGCTTACAACTATAATCGATTACGAATACAAGAGGTCGGACGAAAAGAAGAAGGAAGAAAGATCTTGGTCGGATACTCGATTCAATAGTCGGAAAGACGGTGTGTCGAGCTGCTGATAACTAGTCGCAACAGGAGGCGACCGCAGCAATTGACACTTTCCAACCAGATTTGCCGTTAATAAGAAGCACTGAGATACATTAGAGCTGCAATACCGCGGGATCAAAGACCCGGGACTCTATATCGATCTAGCTTTTTTCCTACGGGTTTTTGCTTTATCGATGTAGATGGACTTTGTATTTAAAGAACTATTCAATTAGTTAAGATACCACTTGCCTTTGCGGAATGCGTATAAGTGGGACTTAACGTCGGCACGCTATTATACCCTTAGGGAGGTGGTAAGTCGGATTCCTTTTTAGGACCCGCAATAGGCGTTAAAACAATACTACTACTACTACTACTCACTCGCTAATACGTAGTAATTTACCTTGAAACCATACGGCGGGGCAAGTGCTCTTGAGATGATCTTGGTTTACTTATTAAGGCTGATTCCGCACCAGCCAAGCCGAAAAGAATTGAATATTACCTAACCGTGCGATAATAAGGCAAGTTGTCGGCTGCTCTCAGTCGCTAATATAGTAGTACGCAGTACTTCGAAACTATATGGCGAGGCAAGTCCTTGTAAGATGATCTTGATGTATTTATTAAAAGCTGATTCTGCATTGGCCAAGCCGAAAAGAATCAAATGTCACTTAACATGCAGTGCGCCAATAAGGCAAGCTGTCGGCTGCTCTCAGTCGTTCGTCCCACGATTACTCGTCGGTTTCAGCTTCCACTATTACCTCCTACTAGCTATAGGTAGTAAGATTCAACTATAAAGTCTTTCTCATCTCGCGGGTCTCTATTTACATTATCATTATCGGTTCTTTCAGCTTTCAGATCCTCAATTTCCAGAATCCAAATACGACAGATACATATCTACATTATTCCTTTACACATTTTCAAAATGGTCTCTATCAAAACCATGCTTGTCGTGCTCTTGTAAGTCGCTTGTCTGATCCATCTTCATCGGTTTTATATAGCTAGCTTGCTAACTTGCATACTTATTGCTTTAGCATCTCTGCAGTAAGCGCAAAGAAGCAACTTTGTTATTGCGGCGATCCGGAAGAAACGCAGGTCATTTGCAACCTACTCGCTCAAACCGACGTCAAATTCATTGATGGGGGGGACGTAAGTGATCACCAGATTCAATCAAGTCTTTTCAAAAATTTATGCCGATGTATTTATACTAACAACACATACCATTTTCAAGTGCGAAGTAATTGATCACAATGCCGCCGCTTCTTTCACTATGACATGCGCTTTGAGCGACAAGAATCGCTTCGGTGCCGATTGCCGAGAACCTTAAGCGCTAGCTAGCATTGAGTATCTGCAGGTCCAGCTCAGTCTAGTAAGATGTAGTATTCTACGGAGTCATTAGAAAATCGATGACTGGGTAAGTGATGATGATGAATCATTATAAAGGGTTCGTTGAAGAGAGGAGAGAATCGAATCTATTATAACAACACCTCTATCTATCTTTCTATCTACTTGTCTTGTCTATCTAGACCGTCTGTCCATACACACACATATATATACACACACACATCAACCTAAAGAAGTGAATGAATAATGCTTTGCTGACTTACTAATCCTGCTCACCTCACCTCACTCTAGTGATAGCTATGATTTATTGGGCACTATATATGAGACTGGACTTTTGGTTATTGCAGAACCACGAAAGTCTCGTTCGACTTCTTTGATCGTGGTTCTGGAGTGTAGGTCCTTGCCTTGATTCCCCTCGTCACATTTGACTGTCTGGTACGAGCAGCGAATATCATTGACAGATAGGGTATCGAAGAAAAGAGTCGTGGCAGTTTTGGCAATGCGGGGGCAAGTATGAAGAGCCTTTTCGCGGTCGAGGATCCCGGCATCCGCAGCGTAGCGTAGGTCAGTAGTTTTTGTACTTTGGATGCAGGTTGCGAGAATTGTGTGGGAAAGGGGTAGTACTTACAGTAGCATAGAGGTTAAGTGAAAGTCGATAATGGCCAACCTCTGCTGTTTTTTGGTAAGCGTGTGGTTCAATTTTCGATTGGCAGTCACGAGGCCATCGTGCCTGACCAGCTTTGTTTATATATCTCGCTGTATTTACCTCTGCTTAAGCTACCAGCGTTACCCGGAAGCTTAGCAGATCCTTGAGAGGTTTATATGTGTAGTAGATATCCGGTCTCAGGAGCCCTATCTTTGTCTTTCTGATAACTCCCGAGTCCCAGAGAGATTGTCCCACACTTAACCGTCTGTGGCGACTGACTGCGAGATCCCCTCCTGGAACCGCCTGGTTCTCAATTAGAGACTACGTCAACACAGATATTGTCGATCTTGCTTGTCAATCTCTTTCCAAAGTTGTGGTATCTTACAGTGACCGTAGCGAGTGTAAACAACCAAGCGAGGATCTGAGTTGGCAGCCTCACTAAGAGTATTGTTTTATCGTTTCTCTTGTCACTATATCTGATCACAGCAAAGGGAAAGTTAATATCGAGAACGGCGCTCTATATTTGGTAGGGACGCTTTAGGCTGAGCTTGCCAAGCGTTTTCTCTGATCTGGCCAGCTGCTTTGCTGGTCCAAATTAGCCTATTCGCTTTGAATAACTCTGAGAGAGAACCAGTAGAAAATCAAGGCCAAGCTACGCCCCCAGCTACGCATCTTGGCTTGTAAAGTCAAGGACAGAAACTAACTAAGTAACTGAAAAAACAAGGGACGGTGGGTGGGTCTTGCAAAAATCTTTGTTGAGGTTTGATGACTTGAGGTGGTAGAACAGACGAGGTTCACACCTAATATTGGGGGAAATCGAGTCGATTCGCTTAGCTCCAATATTCACCCATAAACCCATCCATTATAGGCTGCAGAATAATTTATACAATTCTCGTACAAAAATTTGTTAGTATAACAAGTAGAAATTATTCTTTGTCCAAAAACATATACTATGGAACATTTACCGGAAGGTTCTGCATCAGAGTGGGCAGCCATAATATGATGACACTATACTGCACGGTTATAGGCAAGGAAAAAACGTCCAACAGGTCGCACGAAGTGGTATATAGTACCAGCAAGTCATAAATTAGTCTATTCGGATATATCGCCACGTCTAGGACGACTGTTATTGCACAGAAGCTATAAAAGCTTTACACGCCGAGAAGCCTCAGATCTAATGCACTATCCACTTCCGAGCACCTAAAGCCTCATGTATCGCATCAAGCGAGCCGCCAACATCTTATTTGCACTTCGAAATCGCGCTCCTTGTGATCCCTCTCATTTCCGCAATCAGGCGAGGATGATATTCGTGCGCTTTTTCTTGATCAGCGCTCGGCTCCCGAGCCAAAGTACGTGATTGGCCTCGTACAGATGAAACCCTTGGGACATCTCAGATTGGGCGACGAAGGGTTCCTCTTCTTCTGGGCTCTTCCTCCGAGCCCAGAGTAGTAGGTGCTGTGATTCTATCCACAGTAAAAGAGGAACTTGGAATATCACCAAGGGGTTCTCTTTCGGCTTGCAGCAGGTGTTCTGGTGCTGGATTTGCTAAAAGAAGAACTTGGGATATCACCAAGAGGTTCTCTTTTCGGCTTGTCGTACCGGAAGTACCGCCCAAAGCTTCGAACGGCTCGGGCTACGTAGCAACTACTATGAAATCATCATCAAAGCTTTATCTATTCATTATGTCTCCCAAATCTAAGGTTGCTAATCTTTCCTTTTCACTATTGCTTGCAAAGTGATGGGGAGATGCGGTAGGCAGTATCACTCCCGATATTCTTACCCGAGACGCCTCGGCAGAATTCACGAGAACTGGGCTGATATACTGAGTGTGGCTGAGCTCGTTGACAGGGGCGATAGAGCTACTGTCCTCCTTCGGCTCGGCGATTACTGGTTCTGTCTCAATAATGATCAACGGCTTCGGCGGGATCCATAATACTAGAAGTCTCTCTCGGAGCTGAGGTACGGCATAATTTACAGAAACCATTTATTTAGCCGGCTCCAGAGCGACTGATATCATCTTCTTGTTTTGGCGAGGGGTGTACCGTGGCGGACGCCGAGGACGTAACCTTCTCGATTTGTTATTCTTGCCATCGTGACCCATGATGATCCAACCGTAGATTAACTAACGAACACTACTAGTTGTTGGAACTAAAAAATAATTTTGACGTGAAAATGAAGTATGAACATGCCGAATTCATCAAGTGTGGATGGAGACTTATTGTTATGAGTTTGCAGATGGGAAATTGTAATCGCATACGAAAATAGACGCCGGGACTTGTACACCTATAGAAAAACTAGAGCTACTAATGAGAAGGATTAACTCGGTGATTTTATTCGCAGTCTTGGTATTATAATACAAATGTGTATCACAACGGGTGAGGAGAGGGTGTGATTGTTGTTTGTTTTCGGATTAGCCGAGCCCCTGAATATCTGGAATGGACTCCGTACCAACAAACGAATGCCAAGAACACTTCCAGAACCGCAGACTTTGGATGTGAATCACTACGTTTACGAGAATGCTAAGAGTTGTATCTGATTTTATGGCAACCTCTTAATATGCTGTATCAAGTTCTCGCGATGACAGCCCTGGTGGGTCAGAAAAGGTCAGAGAAAAGCAGACGAAGACGATAAGATCAAGACGTAAACCATCAAGGTGACAGGTTTTCTTCAGCCGTACTCAATCAACTACTTAACCAATCCATTTCAAGCCCAGGAGAGAAAGAAGAACCCTCTCACAACCATTCTCACGAATATCCTCCTCCCTACCCCCCCCTTCTTACCAGAGGTCACCACCAAGCTATCTCATCTCCCGACCTTCTTCCTCCCTACTCCGTCCATGTCCGTTGAAGCCCCCATTGTATTCCTCTCTCTCTCTCCCTCTCCCTCTCTCGCCTTACCAACCATCGCCCCCCCCCCCCAAAAAAAACACACCAAAAAAAAAACACAAATAAGTTACCCAAGCCAAGCCAAGCCCAATCAACTGTCACTCACCACCGTAGGCTCGCAAACCCCTCCTTCCCTCCCCCCATCTCCCACAGTACGCAAGCCCGTCCCCAGAAAAACAACCCCCTCTAAATCAAATCAAATCAATACAACACAACCCTCTCCACTATCCACCATCCACCATCCGCTCTCCCAAACCCCAACACACACAATCCAGCTTCCCTCTATACCCACCCCAATCCGCTAATATCACCACTCACAACTCATATAACCTGTCTCTCTTATATTCATTCATCATCTCCCCCTCCCCCCCTTTCCCCTTCCGACATCAAATCTCCCCTCCCCCGTGACCCGTCCCGTCCGTCCCGTCCTGAGACAAAGTCCCCAGTCCACCAGTCCCGAAGCCTGACTCCCCGGCTGGAGGGTTATTTCTGGGGGGGGCGCGGTAGGAGGGGTTTAATTTTCCAAATTGATACAATTCCGTGAAATTCCGTACTCGTCGGCTCGCTTAGGTGGGCCTCCTGACATCCCATCCTTTCAAGCTCCGTACAGTTTACAATCAGATCTACTAACATCTACCGTACCCTCCCTACCCCAGACCAAACCATTCATTCAAAAGAGAGAGGATCAACGCTTCAAAGCCCAAGCAATTCCAAAGCACGTAGGATTATATATACATATATACATATATATAAATTCTGAGAATACAACACTTCATACCCGCGCCCTTGTCTGCATGTAGTTAGTTGTAAAACTATCTCGAAAAGGTATGTATATATATATAGATATAATGACTAAATTGATTCATTATTTAGGCTTCCCGTCCCGGTCCGTCCGGCCCGTACGGAAGGATCAGATCAGATCAGATCATTTCAGGCCTTCCACCCGCCCCCCCCCCCTCCCAAGTCAAAGAGAGTATTTAACCGACAACCGACATGGTTCAGGTTCGCTAATCTACTCCGTACAAACTCCCAATAAATCGAAGGTTCTCTACCATGTACAGCTCCCCCTTTCATATATTATACTACGGTGTTTACCCGATTCGTTTTGTATCATCTCATTTATGTCTTTGTTTCGAGTCTCATGGATAGGGGGGAATTTAATGCGTATTTTTTCGCGAGATGTGAAAACACAAATACATACGTACCTCATGTGAGGCCCGGCGTGGATGCAAGTGTGTGCGAATTCCTAATCACAGAAAGCAGATGCGAACAGAGGAAGAAGAAGGTGGACCACTATTCGAAGGGATCAAAAAAAAATACCATTTGATGCATCATACGTAAAGTTTAAGTAGCAGTTAAGCCATCAAACCCCCATCTTCCTGCGTGGTATCTCGAAGCCACCTTCAAAAAACAACACACACACAGTCTTGTCTCACCACTTCATCAAGACCACTCACTCCACCACCAGCTGCTCTGTGGACACCGGTAACAATATCCTGTAATAACATCCACACACACCCTCTCGCTCCCACAGAGCGCACCCCCGCCCCAAATCCACAACACAAAAGGTAATTAAAAAGTAGAGGGGTATTTACAATGAAGTCGCAAAGTGTAGAGACAGTCCTGGCCAAGCAGCAAAGACCGTCGTTCCCTCAGTCCCGGATGCCATCCGGGAGCCCGTCTCGTGGCATCGATCATCCTGAAAATAGCGTTGCCGGATTGGCGGGGTGGTTTGACATCGAAACAAAAACAAGCAGAAAATATGGTATATGTGAGGTATGTGCAGAAGTGTGTTGCTGAAGCCTGTGTTGCTGAGACCGAGCACGCGAGACTTGAGCACAGGCTCGAGGTCATCACAACTTCAATCCCACAGCCGCAAAGTCATCGAACGCCACGCTAAACAGTTCCCATCCTTCGTGATAAGGAGAACTGTCATCCCAATAATTTCCTCCAAATCATAACGGGAGCGTGCTAGAAATCAAAATCGATCAATGCTCGCCGGAAGATCGTGACGCTCGTAAAACAATGCCACCCATGCACCTATCCCAAAACGCCGCAATCATGTTATACAGAGCCAAGTCGTAGAAGTGCCTCGACAGCCTCACGCTCTTGTGAGTCGGAGCTGATGCCAAAGGCTTCGAAATCGATGTTGGTGGGAACTTGGAGAGTTCGAACTGGCACCGATTTCGCCATTGTTTTTGCTGTTGTTGAGAGAGAACGCCCGCCTCCGGAGCCTCCATAGATATGTGAAGACAGGAAGTTGGGTCGAGGGCCAGAGGCCGAGTACGAGGCCGCACGGAGAGCAGCTGCTCCGACACCTGCCCAGTCCTCTTCATCGGTCATGTCATCCGAATCCTCCTCAACCATGACTTCGTCATCGGGGGCTTCGGAAGATGAACAAGAGTCGTCGCCGTCAAGCGACATCTTGTCGGCTTCGTTCTCCAGCATCGTAATGTCCATCTCGTCGTCGTGGGAGAAGACAGCAGAATCGCCAGCCCAGCTGGAGCCTGGCGCGTTCAACCGAGCTCTGTTAGTCCCCCATCCACCATTTTTGGCGATCGGCATGCCATCGGAATAGGAAGATGGTGTACTTGGGGATGGCGATTGTTGATTGCCTCTGCTGTTTCTAGCGTGCTGGCCCTTCAACCTGGCGTCCCAACGTCCCCATCCTACTTTCTCAAACTTGACATTACCCTTGGCTCCACCTCCCTCGCCGCCGCTGCCGCGACCTTCCAAAGCACCCACTACCAGTCTTCTGGCCTTCGCTGGTGGTATCCCAGAGAACCCGGGAACCGCAGTGGTCAGAAATCCCATAATGTGTCGGATGGCCAACGGCCCATGGTTCAACAGAATATCTGGGAGATGGTACTTGGCCAGCAGTCCTGGTGTGATATTGCCTGCTGCATCAAGCCCAGGCGATCCCACGTCGCGACTGCGATCACAACCCCCATCCTGTTCACTCCCAGGTCCGTCGTGTAAGTCGAGGTCAGAGTCGACGTGCTCGAGGACCTGCTGCGAGATCGAACGCATCCCGTATGGCTTGATGCCATGGGGAGGTAGAGAGGGAGAAATGGAGTTGGGAGGAGTCGGGAGAGGATGATTTTTGGTCGCAGGGACGCTAATGGCTTCTACAGCAGTCAAGCTGTCTCGACCAAAAGTCTTCGGGAATTCGCGAGCGAACGAACTAATGGAAGTCATTTCGATTGAATATGAAATGGGCTTTTGTATCTCTAGGAGTTACACGGCATAATGTCAGCTAAATGTTCTTGGTCAATAACGCGATAGGTGGCCTGCGAAGTTATCAGTTCGTCTGACTCACTCTCGATGATGCGATTGATGGCAAACTGGCGATTACTTGAGAGACGCAATAAAGAAGCTCTAGGCAACTGAGTATTGGGTCGGAAGGTAGCAAGTAACCTGGCTAGGTGGATGATCAAGCGGAGCAATGAAGCTGTTGCGATGTGCACGGATGAGCGACGTGGGACGAGGCTGATCCGGTCGGAAGGCGTCGAGTAGAGAGTAGTTCGTAGGTGGGAGCGAAGCCAAAGAGATGGAATTCTCTGCGGTTCCAAAATTGTGGGAAGGGAAATTATAAAAGGTACCCTTGCGAGTGAGCAAATCTGGATTTGTGGTGGTTGTTGTCGTTGTTGTCGTTGTTGTTAGTGTTGTAGTTGTTCCGAGGATTGTTGAGAGTTTGTTTGGAAGGATGGATGTTGCCGGGTGTATTTAGTGGAACAGGCCGGGGGGGTGAGAGCGAGGGGGACGGGCGCTGAGACACAGCCTGGGCCAGCTTTGTTTCCTGATCCCTGATCTTTCCTTTTCCTTCGTTTCGGCCAACAAATAGAAGTCGAAAAATTAGAGGATCGGAAAGATGCGCGAGAACAAAGAAATCGAGAAGATAGTGCGAGCTCACCAAAAACGAAGACTCGCTACGGGAAACATCGGAGGCAAACAAATGATACAACTAGATCACATAGCGAGCTCGATGTGCTTGAAGATTGTACGCTGCATCTGATCACACAGCAAGGAAGCACACTGCAGTGTGCTATGCTAAGCTAAAGCCAAAATTAGGTCAGACAGTGAGATGGACAGAGGAAAGAGGCCAGACACTCTTCCGTATCTCCTGGGCACTAAGGTGCGGACGCTGACTGCGACTGCGACTGCGAATGCGAATGCGACTGCGACTGCGACTGCGACTGCGAATGCGAGTGCGAGTGCGACGGAAGATAGACATTATTAGACATCGGATCTAATGCCCGACAGCCTGGGACCAATGACACGTAGAACGCAAAGTCGCACATAGCACGTTGTTTTCACTGTGTCTCTGTTTCGCGACCACAAGATTGACTGACCCACGCCCGGCGCTGATCAGCAGACACCCTCAAGGTGACAGAAGGGCAAAGGCAAGGGCATCCCATTTCTTCCATTCATGATTCATCCCTGTGCGCTGGGGGCTGCACACTTACCCCACGTTGTCCAATGCTGCCACGGAAATGGCTGACGTCTGCTTACGTCGTTCCCGCGCTGCTGCGCACGGATTAAAGGCTCGCATGAAAACTCAAAATGCGCGCAGAGATGCCAGAGAGGTACCGGTACTACAACAACTAGTACGTAGTAAGTTGCAACGTGGGATCGATGAGGAGTCGAGGACTTTCCGTTGCCTTCCGGCCCAAACGGATCCGATAGATAAGCAGGTGCTATTCAAAGTGGAATCGTGTTCCCTAAGGACGATCGCTGAGCCACGAGCCACAAGCCAACGAAAGTATGTTGCGCATATGACTGACTCTAATTTGCCGGGGATCCGATGACAAGAGTTCTGTCTGTCAATGACTCAAACCACCCAGAAATGATGAAGCCTAAAGACATCATCGGAGACGTCAATAGACCACCTTCCCATGAGTAATGGCTTGAAACAATTGCAGGTTAAAGGCATACTGCTTTCCTCGGCTATACGGAGTCAGGCGACGCCGTAAACACAAACTCCATGTACGTACCGTAGGGGACGTCACCAACTAGGCACTAACCTCGAGCAAGAAAATAAGCATCAAGCTCCACCATTGAGTACATACCGCCTGCAAGACTAGAATCAAAAAATCAGTTTCTCCAAAGTCAAGGGGATTGCTGGGATGAGGCCAATATGGCTGGCGATACAGTAGACTTACTGCTTTCAAAACTGCCAATCGCTCAACCGAGATTTCGAATACCTGCTTGTACTGCCTCAAACTCTGTCGTAAAACCTCTTCACGAGTCTTTCTGCCATCACAAATGTCCTTCATGAGCAATTCCATCTCCTTTCTCAGGAAAGGTTTGCTCAGACTAGGCTCGAAGTCCATTCTGTCGTAGCCATCCACAAGAGCTACGCCTAGCGTAGATGGTATGAACTCCTCCACGCATCCGCCCCCGCCTCCACGCCCACCAGGGGCGGCACCGCCTCTACCACCTCGTCCTCCTCTATCCCCTCTCCCACCGCGCCCCCCACGACCACCACGAGCTGGAACTGCTTGGTTGTTGTTTCCGCCACCGCCAGCTTTGGGTCTAGTGAAGACGTAGTTTCTGTCCTGGATCATTTTGATATGTTCAGCCATGGTGGCATCTGTGCCAATGCCATTGGCATCCATCAATGCCAGAAGATCCGGCTCTGTCAGGTAGCCGGGCGCTGTCGTATTTCCCTCTGTGACCATGGCTTCGGTAGGTTCGAATATCTCGTTGAGGGTAAATCTAGGCAAAATTGCAGTGCTGGTCCAATTTTCGTATGGGTAAACGTCGAGGTAATTTCGCTCCAACACGACGAGACCATGGGCACCAAAATTCTCATCGCCATACTCGATTTCGGCATCAGTGGCTTGACCTTTGGCGTCTTCCGAACAGCAGGCAAGAAATCGGCGGGTGATGAATTCGTACACCCGACCTTCCTCGGGATTCAAGGTATTTGGAGCTACCCAAGTGACTGGATGGATGGGAGGATGTGCTTTATCGTCGTTTCTTCCTTGTCGCGGTTGCTTGAACCCTCCAGCCACCAATCCTTGAGCATAACCTCCCCACCTACCATCTTGCACCTGTTTCTCGACCAATGCTCGGAGGTCAATGCCTTTGTCGAAGCGATCCGTCTCTGTCCTAGGGTAGCTAATGAAACCCTTCTGATAGAGACCCTCGGCAACACTCATCGCTGTGGAGCTGTTCATCCGCAAGAATCGACTTGCGTTCTTCTGAAACTCGACTGTGGTCAATGGTAGGGGTCTCCATTTACTGGTTGGCTTCTCGTGAACTCTGGTGACTTTGGCCGTCTTCGCTGCAATGCATCTCTCGAAAATTATGACGACGATAGCGCGGTCGAATAGCCTGCTACGTTTCCAATTAAAGACGACATCCATATCGTCTCGTCGATGAGTAACTTTAATGCTCCAAAAGGTTTCTGGGACGAAATTCCTGACCCTAAAGTATCGGTCGACTACAAATCCCAGAGTCGGGAATTGGCATGATCCTGTTCGAATCAGTAAATCAGATCATTACGGGACAGATACTGACTCCTACCATAGCTTATCACCCTCTTCTCACCTACCTCGTTCGTTGCCATGTTTCCACCAAGAGTGCGAAGGTTGACCGTTAACCACCGCGTGAAAATGAAGCCGATTCTCAAATCGAGCTCAATACGGGTAGCAACTGCGCTAACTTGGCGATCATCCAGGTCTATGGGATTTCTGGCTGCTTGGATAACATGTCTGTTCCATCAGTAGGCAGCACCAGAGGAGAATCTGTTGACTTACGCTCTCTCAATGTTACTAAACCTGGCTCTCTTGACAGGGAGCCTTGGATTTCCCCTGTGAGCTTCTGTCCGAACCTCGCCACCAATATGTTCGCCTTCCCGATCACAATCGGTCCAAATGAACAGTGCCTTAGCTCCTCTTGCTTGTTCAAAGATGTTTTGCGCAATTGCTTGGCTTTCCTAAGTAGCATTAGCGATTCGCAAGAGGCCGGTAGACTGTACAACTTACTGGCTTATCAACAACCTGAACGCGGACCGGGGCAGTGAACAATTCTTGAGGAGGGACGTAATCCCAACTCCCCTCGTATTCAGGAGCAAACCTCGCTTCGGTGATGTGACCAGAGACCGCAGTCATTAGCACTTGACAGTTCCCCCATTCTCCGCCGAAGTCAAATGTGAAGGAGTAATTTTTCACGTATTGGTTTCTGGTGTTACTCTGCATGGGACCTGTCAGAGCAGACAGCCAAGAAGTTAGCAGACACCTACCGTAGTGAAACGGCCACCAGAGAGATGTTCTGCTACAGCCTTTGAGATGGAGTTCTTCTCAGCTACGCAAAGAATCTTTCCTGGCATGATCGCGCCGTCACGTTTGAAATCCAGTAATCCAGTAATCCAGTAGTCCCTGGTACTCACTCACTCGACCTACCGTGTGGTTGGCGCCTGGCCAGTCCGTCGCCTATTATCAAGGCAAGAAGAGAGAATCTCACGGCATCGGCAGGCTCAATGCGTCGAAAATGGGTGCGCAGACGCTGATATGACTTCTGGAGGAAGAAAAAAAACCATGATGGCGAGGAAGTAGAACATCTGCCAGAATAACTTTAAATTTATCCCGAGCTTTTTCCGGGCTTGGCTTGGCACAGGCAAAATCTGGACCCCAAGACGATGAGGTGAGGTCATCGTCATCGACCCCTCCATACTACGGAATAACAACCTGGACGACGACAAAGACAACGACGACAACGACGAAATCGATCCTTCGGCCATCTTCCGCTCTAACTCTGTCAGTCCTCTCCATGATGGCTCTCCCGGTGATCAAGAGTATCGTTGACTGCTCGTCGCTGGAAAAGACCGTGTACCCCTACCTACCACAACTCTACGACCTTCCCCAGCAGATTATCCAGACATGCAATGATCCGACCGGGCTCAAGAACCTCTATCTCGCCACGAACCCGCTGATATCTGCATTCGCCTTCTCACTCTTCCTCGCGCCTCTAGTCCTCGTCATCTCCGAGATCAACAAGAACTATTCGCAGATAGACCGACTTTGGAGTATACTGCCTACCATCTACAATGCGCATTATACCGTATATGCCCATATGTCAGGGCTCGATACGCAACGACTGGATAATTTGATTGCTTTCAGCGTTGTGTGGAGTGTATGCGCACCACCCTGGCCTCTGCAGACTCTGCTAATAAGGGCTCTTAGCTACGATTGACATTCAACTATTGGCGCAAAGGCGGATACAGCATTGGCTCCGAGGATTATCGATGGTGAGGATTACTACACGTATCCGGGAGTTTGTGGCTAAATGTTTGATAGGGAGATCGTCAAGTCGAAAGTTCACCCGGGCGTGTTCTTCATTTTCAACATTATCTTCATTTCGCTGGCCCAGAGCGTCCTCCTCTTTGCGATCACGACTCCCACATACATTATATTGCTCGCAGCTCGGCTTGGACAAGAGTTTTCGACATCTGACATCATCTTCGCGCGATTATTGATGGCCTTAGTCCTCCTGGAATTTTTTGCAGACCAGCAACAATGGAGTTCGTACTAAACCGGACCACATTGTTGTGCCTGATTTGCTTACAAAATTTAGATTACCAACAGGCCAAGAAGGAGTACCTCAAAACAGCCAAGGTCCCTCGTTCTTACCATCAAGAGGATCTCGACCGCGGATTTGTCGTTACTGGTCTTTGGTCCTGGAGCCGTCACCCCAATTTTGCTGCCGAGCAGACTATTTGGGTTTTACTATATCAATGGGGATGCTGGACCTCCGATGTTATGTATAACTGGACTTTCGTGGGAGCAATGTCCTACCTAATCCTCTTCCAAGGCTCAACGTGGCTTACCGAACTCATCACATCCGGAAAATATCCAGAGTATAAGGAATACCAGAGGCGAGTCTCGAAATTCATCCCGCGTCTGTATACAGATCTCCCAGGAGACTTTAGCGACACGAGGCAACAGCCCAAGATATCGGAAGAGACGGCTGAAGAGAAGAAGATCGAGAAGAAGGGGGCTAGGAAGAGCTCGACTGTGAAAAAATAGAGACGAAATGGAGCATCATATTATTTGGCTTTACTGTGCTATCCTCAACTTGGGCTTAGCGGACCAGTCCAAATTTCATGAATCTGCAATTGCTACTTATCGTTATCATATTCTACTCCGGGCCTTCGGTCAGCTGTTCAAAATTGAGGAAGATCTAGTTTGCTTCAAGTGGATCAATATCATAAGACAGGCCACGATACTGTCCCTTCCAGAAATCCAAGAAGCTTCGGCAGTTCGAAGTAAATCTCGCTATTTATCTTTTCAGAAACTATAACTTCGATTAACCGCAGTTTAAAGTAAGGTTGCCCGCCTATCAGGAGTTTCATTTGCTCTACAGCTTGTGTAACTATCAAACTGATGTGCAAAAGCAGACCTGCAATGCACATTGCAGTTTCCAGTATTATTACCCTACACCACATGACACAAACATTCTGCTGCAAGCATTAAAAGACATATCCAGCTCTTGATACGAAGAAAAAAATGACCGTCATATTTTTCCGTCGTGTCGCAGAAGGAAATTGTTCTCTTCTCTGAAATCGAAGTCTGGCACTCTAGCGTTCTCGCCTAGATTACTGTACCAGAACGGTCGAAGCGAACAAAATAACCGAACTATTCAGTGGGAACTGATACTAATTACAGCCATATCTGACTTGTTAATCAGCCCATAGCTTCCCTTCCTCCGTTTTTCTCACACTACCGCATTGGGGAGCTACCTACTTTGCTTTACTTTGCTATTTTCTTTTCGGCCCTATCACATATCTAGGTCATACGTTTTAACTCTTCTATATAGACGAGTAAATTCATTCCCTGACCCTGACCATCATCACAATATACACGACTCCTATACGTTTCACCTGCTAGCCGTACCCTCTCACTATTTCTTTATAGGTATATATTTCTTCCTTATATAAGACGTTTACTATATGGAGCCTGAGTCCTTCCACACTACCTTATTCACTGGTCCAGCATATCCTTTTTCCTTTTATTTACATCTCGCATCGTTCCCTTTCCCCCATCGCTTTCTCTCGTCTCCTGCACCTGAAGATGAACATCGCAGCCGGAGAGGCTATGAATAATCCACTCTCGCCAGGTCGAAATAGCTCTCGGCTGGCATATGGACGCTTTCTAAGTCCAAAGTGCCGTTTCGAACACAAGGTATCGAAGTCGTTGAAGTGAGGTAAGGTGAGGTGAGGCGAGGTCCGTTGGCTTTATTGTGTTTGAATGTCAATGTTGCCATTACCGTTATCGTCGCTGTTATGTCATGTTATGTCATGTTACTGTTGTCATGTTTGAAAGAAACTTTCGTACGCTGGTGTTGGGAGTTTGGGCAATGAGATAAATGGTGGTGGGGAGGGAGGAAAGAGAGAAGGGAAATTATTTCTCGCTGCGATAGCTGGTAACCATCGAGCTTTATCCTCGGACGCTGGCTTGTGCCTAGGCGGGTGCTTGGAGGAGCTGTCTTCGGGCAGGTTTTACTTCCTGCCATATTGGATTACCTGAAGTGCTTCTGAAAAGATTCATGGAAGAGGTCATCGGAGATCTACTCCCACGTGTAGAAGTTTTAGGAGCTGTGTTGATTTAGATCAGCCAGAAATAAAGGAAAGAAAGGGAGTTCTGATGTATGTGAAGTATCAATCGGGAAGGATGACCCATACGAGACAAGTATCCAGAAAAAAATTCGAGTCTTATTCTGCTATTGGTATCTCGTACTACTCAGCAGCACAATGCACGCACGCACCCTGGACCACCTGGACCCAACGAATCCAATACCGATTGCCCCAAACGCCAACGTGAACAGGCCGCGCGAAAGACCAATGCACGCCAAAAACATTCATAGGGTTAGCGGTACTGACCCGTTGAAGTGGCCATGAATAACCTCCCGTATGAACGAGTAGAGTCAAGCACCGCATGTATGCATCTATAATGTAATGCCAAAATTAGAAGATGAATTCGAGGGAAAAACATGCTAGAGTAGCCGTCCCCGCCAAGACATGTGATCGCAGGAATCTAATCAAACTCGCTGGCTTGCAAAATCTAGAACATCGCAGTCATCCTCGAAAAACCCTTCATCGTCGCCACCAGCGTTTGTGGATCCACCCCCACGAGGAGCCTTGGGAATTCTCGTAGTGATGACGATCTGCTCCATGTGATCCATACTGTCTGAGACCCTGAACACCCGCTCAATCGAGGAGGAAGGCAGCGCTCGAGTATCAGCGGAGACATCAAATTCGTCGTCATCGGAATTGTGCGGCGGCCCAACGTCAAGTTTTTTCGCACTGATGGAACCGCCAAATGCCCAGGGTTTTGCTTGGCCGCTCTGGGTCGTTTTCACACCTGGAATAGCGCGAGGTGGGGATACCAACACAGAGACAGATGGTGATGGTAGAGCAATTTCCTCGTTCGAGTATACGTGCAAACTCACACGTCTATCGGTATGGAATGGCTGGTATGGTGCGTTGGACTCTATCTCTGCTTGAGGAATCGACGATTCGGTACCATGTGCCTTTGTGATGGGTGACGGGGATTGCCTAGTTTTCCAGCGAGAATCTTCAATGTCCTTCTCTGTGAGCTCGAGGTCTCCAGCTTCGTTGAAATCACGCATGACTTCAGGTGTGCGTTTAAAGTCTGGGAGTGATGGCAACCTGAACTCAACATACTTGGAACCTCTAGAGGCCTTTTGCTTATCTGCAGGACGGTCGGCTCGTCGGTTTTTGATGGTGTAGAATCGGACTATGCCGCCCCCAAGGACAACCACGGAGTCATTTCGTCTGCCATTGAGTAGGAGAACGCAAGCCCTCGATGGAGCGCTGTGGTTTCTGGGGAGGTGGAGCTTGGTGGTATTCGCGGATTTTCGCATTTCATTCATCTTTCCTGTCGCAGCACCAACGGATCTGCTGATTCCAGCAGCCAACGCTTGCGTGCCGTGCCCGGCTTGCGCAGTAACGGTCCTAGCCGAAATCCCTACGCTGCTTCGACGAGGGCGACTAACTAGAGGCCGAGCAGCCGTCCAGAGAGAGCTGACTGCACTTGTAGCTACTCCGGTGGCTGTAAGAGCAGGACCGATGGATTCCCCTGAAGTATCGCCGCTTTTTGGAGGCTGCAATCTCCGACGAGGGGGTGGCCAAGCAAAGGCGCTGGCAGGAAGGTCCAGAACGTGAACTGTGCCATTCTCAGTGACCATTGCAGCACGCTCGCCATGGGGCGAGGTCCAAACAACGTCGACAATTCTGGCAATAGTCATTCGTGAAAATTGGGCAATCTGTCTTACGTGTGGGCCTTGTACCCCGGTGCCCTGGACTCCTCCTTTGAGGAAGGATGACTTCGCATATTGTATCCGCATCAAGTCCCACACGAATTGGATATCGCCCTTGTTGCTGGCTGTGAACAAAGCCAAGCCGTTGGGAGCGAACGACAAGAAGCTACATCCATGAGGAACCCGAAATGTTGCCAGAGGATGAGGTGGTGATCCAGAAGACGAGACATGGTGACTGAGAGCCTCTAAATCGAGAATGGAGATGAGCCCAGGGTCCTTGATTACGAGAGGGGTGGGTGCTTGGACACCATGTGTTGGAGGGAACTGCTGGGTCATGTTTGGATTGGTTTGGTAAGGCATACCGCCCATCGCAGATTGGCTCTGGATCGGCTTGTTCCTATAATTATTCCATGCCGACAATCCCTGCTGCGTCAGATAGTTACCTGCTTCGATGAATTTCTGAGTCCCAAGCTGGACAATCTGTTTGACCATACTGTCACCACCTGGCGAATCCACCGAACAATTCACCCCAGGTAGATTTGGAGGTGCGTGGGAATTTAGTCCCGGAACCCTGGCTGCCGAACCTATCCCAGGAACGGTAGCTCGAAGAGATATTTGAGAGGAAGGCGCTGAAGGACAATATGCCAACCAACGGCCATTCATAGACAAAGTCGAAGCTTTGGACTGCTTCCGTGCTGCAGACTGCTCAGATGCATGAGGTTCGCCGGCGAACTTGTAGACACCACCAGTCTCAACACTGATTCTCTGCTGAACTGTTGCCCAGACCTTGCCAATGCATCTAAAACTTTCCAGAGAGTTTTCCATATCTCCCTGGCGGAATATCCAAGTCTCGCCTGTCGTTCCAGATGCTACAATAACGTTGCCACTGTCTGCACGGATGGTCAATGATCCTGTTGGAAGGGGCGCTTTGAACAAGGGACTCGTCGAAGGTATTGTGATAATGGATTTCGGTAGCGAGATAAGTGTCGCTACATGGGATTTCATCCCCAAGGAGTAGATCTCGACTGTTGTCTGATAGTAATCAACTGGATCCAGTTCTTCAATTTGTTGTCCGTGTATCTTCGGTGAGCCACGCACGCTTCCATTCTGACCCGCTGATTTACCTTCTGATGAAGGCGTACCTGTTGAACAGTTATCCGATGTCAGGACCGGACCATGAATCACAACGCCAATGAGTGGATATAGATGCGAGTTTCCCCCGTTGCCAGTCCATGGCAGGATTTTGGCATTGATGACACCACCTCGAAGGCCCTCAAGTCCCGAAATCTTATTCAGGCCTTTTTTCGAGACGGCAAAAATGCTGACACCGCCTTCGTATCCAGTCACGACCACGTCTTCGGTTACGTTCGTATTTGTTGCTGGAAGGTGATCGAAGCCACTGTGATATCCATTCTCCCCAGGAGTAATACCAGGCGTTGGTGGTGAAAGTATCAAGTTGGCATCTGGTGCACCATAGAAATGAGCTTGAGCCAGGTGCGGAAGAGGAGGGTGCTGAGCGTAGCGGTTATTCTGAGCAGAGTACAGCGACATTCTCCTGGTATGGGACGAAGAAGGCGGAGATCGGTGGCCGTCGAAGCCCTGGGGCAAGTTGCTATCCTGTTGATAGCTAAGTGGTCTTCTTCTAACAGGTGGAGAAGCTGAATGGACATGTCCGTTCACGACTTCTCTCTGTTCTTTTGTCGTCCATCCAAAATTTGAAAGCATCTCGTCGCCTCCCCGAGGTGGAGAATCCAACTGGATCAGGTTGCCAGGAGATGAGGAAAATGCCGGCAGGTTCCTCGTCCATTCGCCCGTGTTCTGTGACGGTGATCGGTCTAAGGCAGCTGAAGACAAGGCGTCCAACAGAGGAGACGTAATAGGGTTTCCATTTGAAGCTTTTACTACTGGCTTCATATCCGTCGACTGGGTCCGGTTTGCATGAGCTGATTGCTTCGAGTTCCTGAGAGAAGCGGCGGTTAATATCTGACCCAACAACACACCTTAAATAATCCCCTTATACAACACTTACATAGCCTTCGAAGAGTTCCTTGTCACCGCTGCCACCACTCCGCTGCCGCCATCTTTGGCCGTCCCATTTTTTCTGCCGTTCTTGAGAGGAATCTGAACTCCAGCCGTTGTTGCCTTCTGACTCGGCTTAGTGGGTCGGGGACTCCCGCTCGAGGTATAGTCGGTATCTTGATCTGATATAGGGGGCATTCAAATGACTTCCAATCCAACAGGTGCTTGTATGCTCCGCAGATGCTCCAGGAGTCTGGACGGTGGTTGTGTCTTTCACGACGTCCGATGACGCGAGTGAGGGGTGAAACAAAGTGTTCTCCCGCTTGCTTCCTGAGATCAGGATAGTCAGGGGGAGTTAGAAAAGAGGTAGGTCCGAGTCGATAGTTTGTAACGAGTTGTTTGAGTATCTAGAGTAGTTTTTGAGGTTTGGTTGGGTTGGTTTGAGTTGGAGGGTCAAAGGTGGAGAGCGCGAGATGTTGTTGATAGATGAATGAGGCGCGGGGCAAGTGCATACGGCCTTGGCTAGGCCGGCCTTGGATAGCAGAAGCCATGCTGGGGTTCATCGTTATGTGCAGACAGTAATATGCGTTCGGGCACGGCTACTGAGTAGCACAAACAATGGCGATCTATTATCCCAGAATTCTGTGAGATCGCAACTGAAGCCAAACAAGGTGAGTGTTTTTCTGAATTTGACTGTTGGCAGCTATAGTGTCGAGGCCGAGGCGACAAGGTTGTCTGAAGCAGATTTGTCACTTTGGAGGGGAAATGTCTGTGCAGTCAAGCGCATAGCATAACAAGAGTTGGAGAAAATGATGTCCTATCCGTATGAGGTGCAGCTCTGCAACACTTGCGAAGAATATGCAGCTCTTGCACTTGACATGGCCTTACAACGGGAATATGCTGCCATAGTCTACATGAGAAGACATTCGGACAGGCGAAGGCATCTTTGTTTCCTGAGAAACCGGGTCATCAGCATTGGATGTGCCTCGTGATAAACCACCTGGCGTACTATTGGTATGTGTAATAGTACATATGTCTGCCTCGACATGGTCCCGATCCGTTCCTAGCCCATGCTTTCCAAATATGTGGTATCGTAGAACTCCGTATAAAATAGGAGATTTCTTCCCAGCGAAGCGACGCTATACCGGCACGGATGCAACCAGCACGCTTCAAAGATGGCTTAGGCCTTCTTCTTGCCAGCGACCTTGGCCTTTGCCGCTCTCTTTCTGTTACTCCGGATCATAACGACGCTGAGGAATGATCCCACAACGGCAGAGGCACATAGAATCTAGGGAATTGAATTAGCGAGGCTGTCAAGCTAGTATGGACAAGTGGAAATGAGAAGGCATGTTAGCCCAAGTAGAAGGGCTGTCTACCAGAATCACAGGTATCCGGATAGCCCAGACTCGAGGAGGGAAAACGTTTTGCAAAGGGTGGTCCGAATCGACGAAGGGCTGTTGTGTTGTAGTTAGTCCCTAGCTACGTCGTGAGAATAGCATCGGCTCGTTACCATGAGCAAAGTCCAGATGGAGTAGTATAAGAAGACAACTGTCGCGGCGACAAGCATCACAAGTCCAACGAGAGCGTCCAGCTGCCGCACATTAATTAGCACCGTCTTCGTGCCAGAGAGTAGACGTGACTGACCATTGTTGCTTGCAATTCGAATTTGAGGCGTAAAAGAGTGTAGGTGGTGAATATAATGCGAATTCCGGATGCTCAAAAGCTAAGAAGGTGGTCTTCTTGCGGTGGTCTGGTTCACCAATTTGGTGGCAGCAGCCCTGCGCTAAAAACACGCGGCGCGGATCCTCAAATTTGTCGCGAGTTCTCTCATGCTCAGCCTGCTCGAGCAGCTCCAACATCCCCGCAACTCCACTTCCACTCCCACCTCCTTCACCTCCGCCTTAACACCCCCTCGACTCGACTATGGAGCTCACTGATAAAGCAGATGATGCAAAGCAGGCCGCGGCAAAGGCAGAATACGACAAGCTCCTCACCCTACGCTCTGGCGGTACCTATATCCCTCCGGCGCGCCTCAGAGCTCTCCAATCCCAGATCACCGATAAAAGCAGCAAGGAATACCAGCGCATGGCATGGGAAGCTTTGAAAAAGTCCATCAATGGCCTGATCAACAAGGTCAACGTCTCGAACATCAAATTCATCGTCCCAGAGCTGTTTGGAGAGAACCTGATCAGAGGTCGAGGACTCTTCTGCAGGAGCATCATGAAGGCACAGGCTGCCAGTTTGCCGTTCACCCCGATCTACGCAGCTATGGTCGCTATCGTCAATACCAAACTACCAAATGTTGGCGAGCTCCTGCTCAAGCGCCTCATTACGCAGTTCAAGAAGGGCTTCAAACGAAACGACAAGGCAGTCTGTCTCTCCGCGACGACATTTATCGCACAGCTGTGCAACCAGCAAGTTGCGCACGAGATATTGGCAGCACAAATACTGCTACTTCTACTGAACAAGCCTACAGACGATAGTGTGGAGATCGCAGTTGGCCTGACGAGGGAGGTTGGGCAGCACCTCGAGGAAATGAATCAGGCTATCGCAATTGCCGTCTTTGATCAATTTAGGAACATTCTGAATGAAGCTGATATTGATAAGAGAGTCCAGTACATGATTGAAGTCTTGTTCCAAGTCAGAAAGGATAAATACAAGGATAACCCCGCAATCAAGGATGAACTGGACCTGGTCGAAGAGGAAGACCAGATCACACACAAGAGCTCTCTCGAAGATGACATCGATGTGCAAGACAGCCTGAACGTTTTCAAGTTTGATCCAAAGTGGGAGGAGAATGAAGAGCTATATCAGCGAACTAAAGCGGAAATTCTGGGAGAAGGGAGTGACGAGGAAGGAGACGAAGACGACAGCGACGACAGTGAGGATGATGAGGAGAAACAAGAAGAGAAAGCTCTGGAAATTAAAGACCAAAGCAACGCCGACCTTGTCGCCCTGCGGAAAACGATATACTTGACGATCATGTCGAGTATTGATCCCGAAGAATGTGTTCACAAGCTGATGAAGGTCAACCTCCCAGCTGGCTTCGAGCAAGAACTCCCGTCGATGATCATCGAATGCTGCTCCCAGGAGAAGACATACTCCAAGTTCTATGGCCTGATTGGAGAGCGATTTGCAAAGATCAATCGTCTCTGGACCGACTTGTTCGAGCAGTCCTTTATCAAATACTACGATACGATACATCGATACGAGACGAACAGACTTCGGAACATTGCACGATTCTTTGGACACATGCTCAGCTCTGACGCTTTTGGATGGCATGTGTTTTCAGTGATTCACTTGAATGAGGACGAGACTACCTCAAGCAGTCGTATCTTCATCAAGATTCTCTTCGAGGATTTGGCTGAAGCAATGGGTATGGCGAAGTTGCAGACCCGGCTGAAGGACAACACACTACGTCCATATTTCGAAGGCATATTCCCCCGCGACAATGACCGTAATACGAGGTTCTCAATCAATTATTTCACTTCTATCAAAATGGGCCCCCTAACAGAGGAGATGCGAGAGTTCTTGGCGAACAAACCAAAGCCTGCTTTGCCAGCCCCACCACCAGCTGACGACTCGTCGGACTCTGAATCGAGTTATTCTTCGTATACAGGCTCGTCATATTCTCGGTCGCGAAGCCGATCTCGATCCCGATCTCGATCCCGAAGCCGATCCCCTCCCGGAAGATCGCGGACTACCAAGAGACGAGACTACTCGGAAGATCGGTCACGCTCTGTTTCTCGCTCCCTCTCTCGGTCACGCTCTGTTTCTTTCTCCCCCTCTCCGTCACGCTCACCATCCCCACGTCGAAGCCGCCGAAGATCCTACACGCCTGACGACCGCAGTCTATCTCCTCCTAGAAGACGCAGAAGCAGCCCGTCTCCTACAAGGGGTCGAAGCCCGTCACCCCGTAGACGACGAATGAGTCCGTTGCCCCCTCGACGTCGAAGCCCTTCCCCAGCTCCCAGGAGAAGAAGGAGAAGTTCGACACCCCCTCCCAGGAGACGAAACTCATCTTCGCCACCTAGTAAACGAAGTCTATCGCCTGCACCTAAAAGAAGAAGGCTGTCTTAGCCAGTGGAAAACATTTGTAGTATATAATTCGAAGGCGCTGATAGAGTTTCGCAGTTGCAGTGGAGGAAAAATAAATTGCATTAAACTGTGTCGCCGCTATTCGCGATTTCGAATCATTCTCTTACACTAGCAAGCCTTGAGGTTCTGAAATAGGTAGGTGAGAGTGTTACTATTGCCAATGCATGACTGAATCAGCAGGATCTCCTATCAGAGCGTTAATCACAAGTTCTTGTCATAGGTCCGCTCGCGATTAGCTCTGTTCAATCTAGAAGCGGACAATAATCGACAGGCGCTCCTTCAGTTCTGGACATTGAACGAGATTCGAGAATATGGTGCGGAAGAAGCCATAAAACGCCTCGAAAAGAAAAAAAGCCGGTACAGAAGGACTACGCCCAAGATATCGGCCATTCTCTCGGCTATTTGTATCGTCTGACTCGATCGTTCGACCTGAATTGTTTCTCAGGCGGTCACAATAAGGTGGTCCACGGAGAGGATGATCCAACAACAGCAAGCATGCTACTTATAACCACCCATGGCTCCAACAAGAAGAAGCTCGTGGTGCCTGGGGTTAGAGGCCTGCCAAAGCAACAAAAGGCCCTTTTAGACGCCTACGCATGGGTCTAGATGTCATCAAATTTCCACTGGAGTCTCGGCATGGCATATCCTTCCGAGGGCTTTCCACATGCATTGTACGATTATCAAAGGCAGTTCAGCAACCGTTTCCAACTCGCAGCGCGTCAGCCACAATACGCTGGCTTGATCTTTGCCCAATCTGCAGTCGCCGCTCCTCTAAATCGCTACCCTTGCAATTGCCGACGATGTGATCTGGGTCTAGGTCAACAGCACCATGTTCACCTCAATCGGTATATAACATTCCTACTTCTTTGAAATGAACGGATGGTTTAATTTATTTCGGATCCCAGTCCTGAAATATTTAGCAGACCCTACTTCTCAGCTTATCATTACTTTGTTGTTCGGAAGAACCTGGGTTTTGAACGGGACTTCCCCCTGGGCTGAAGCCTTCCGTCAGTTGAGTGTCCTATCAACCTTATTGAATTTTAATTCCGCTCAATTTGTAGATTCAAGACTAGATTCAAGACAGACTTCGAATTCAAGCTCACAGGGATTACCTATCTCCCACCTTTGGCAGCCGCATGAAGGGCAGGAAACTGCAGTATCCAGGGGAGTTCGAGCGAACAGCTCGCTTGAAAGAGCTCCTTTCCGATGCACAGAGATTCATCATCACGACGAATCGTGCGCAAGTACGGCAGAATTGTTTCCCTGGTGCGAGAAGACTGCAAAGCTGCTGAACAATACTTTAACTTGTGCTCAATCTGCTTGGCCCAAGATCTCGCTTCTCCGTGGCGGATGTCTCTGCTCCTCTGCTGACCACAAAATTAATCTAGGACTACCCAGAGCACTGTGATCTTACGTCGAAGACTGCCTGTCCTCCAACAGAACAGACTGGTCTAAAACAAACGATGGATTGGCTTCTCGACAGAATTGAGCACACGAATGATCTTGCCGGCAAACTCATGCAGCATGTACTCCCAGGATCGCAGGATGTTGAGAAACACTTCACGAGAGATGGCACCATATTACAAGACGATCTTGTGTATATCATGAAAATCCGACTTGGCGCCGACTCCAGAGACACTCAAAGGCCCAGAAACCCAGAAGAGCCCGGTACCAATGCCAAACTTCATACCCGACGACGGTTCCTACGCTACCTGTACCTGAGGCCTTGTCGGGAAGAAGTTTACAAGTTTGTCATTCTTTACATCCTCCAATAGGGGCAATGGTCCTAATGAACCATCCGTGGACGTCCAGCGTGAATTAAAGATGGAGGAACCTATGAGTATTCATCGGCCCACGTCGCACCCCAACGCCGTACAACAAAGCCCTCCTATCCCGCAAGCGTCGAACAAGGATCTCGAGGAAGAGATTACTCGCCTTCGTAGCTGATGCACTGAGATCAAGAACGCATTGCGCGCTGTGAGAGGAAGTTCGAAGTATGGAAGGGATCGTGGAAGCGCTCGACCTGGCAGGGAAGTCAAGTTTGGAAAAAGCCGATGGAACACTTGGATAGTAGCTTATAGTCGCATAAGCGCCTTCGGGAAATTTTTTATTCTACCGCCAGTGTGGATTTTGGTCGAATGGGAGCCCGGCCGCGCTAGAGCAGGTCTGGGTTGGGGCATCAACAGAATACAGAATGCGATTCCTGCCATCTTTTCCATTAACGATTCCATCCAAAACCTAAGCTATCACAGCTCGTCTCATTCGTGTACTGCTACCACACTATGAACTCGAGCTTCTTTTCTTGCTCAGTGCCAGGACGTGAGAGCGTCAGAGCAACTGGTGGATGCGACGTATGCAACAGGTATCTGTGTCTTATTCATATGTCCCCAGTTTATCACAAATGCAGCCAGGTATGTCGCTTAGTCTTCTGCCTCACCTCGTCCTGTATCTTATCTTGACCCTATACTGACTGAACAGGTCTTGGACGACGCGACTTACCTGCTGCAGACTGCTCTCAAGGGCCTACTGGTTGAGAGAGGGACGTCAGTATCCTCTTAGCCACAACAGCCGCCGTCGTCGTTGCAGACGAGCTGCCAACGCGGTACTAGTATTGGAGGCTTTTAAGTTACCAGTATTGAGATCAAGAAGAGGACCTTGTTTCCCCGCTCGATTCAATGCACATATAGCATAAACCGTGCAATTTCACTATCAGGCTACAGCATCGCAAAAAGACGGGGGCATATAGTAGCCATTTGTAACGAATGTTCTCTTGGTCCCTGCAGTCAGTTCCTGCCTTCCGACTCCGACGGGCTTTTCCTGGAGTCGATAAAAGGGACTATCGAGGTTTGGACTTTTGATCGCGTACAGTATACTTTCTTTTGTACTTACTACCCATACCCGACCAGTAAGGGGAAGGGGGTAAGTAGTACTCAATCCTTGTCGACGCTCGTCGTTCGTTTTCCGCACAAGGGGGGTTTTTTTTTTTTAAAAAAAAGCCTGCAATCAAGAGCATTGCATGGTGGATGATATTGAAGTCGATCGATCGATCGATCGAAAGGAAGTAAAGATCAATTGAAGTTTTGGCGGCTTGGAACTATCGATTTGATTGATAGACTGTATACCCATACCTATATACAAAAACCCTCCCTTCGCTCTGTACGCATCTCCGTACTATCTATCCTTCGGGAAGTTCCTAGGGCGAGGATCGACCCGCATGACGTAAATCAATACCACTTACTACTACTACTACTACTACTTACTAGTAGTAGTTCCTTCCTTCCGACTTGAGAAGAATCTCCAGATAGATAGATCCTTCCCGCAAAAGGAAATTGCCGAGCTTGTGATTCAAACAATTACATACAGATCTTTCTTTTCTCTTTCTTTCCTCAGGAACGCATGTGATGCGAAATAGTTTGATAGTCGCCGATGATATCGAAGTAGCCTTGAAGGTTTCTCGAAATCTTCGCGTATCTTGAGAACAGTCGCTTAAATGATCATCTCAATAAAAGTAATGATAAGCTCGCAATTGTTACATAGACCCCCCCTCCCATTTTTTTCTTTTCTTTTTCTCGACTGCGATAGAGAGCAAATTTAAGATCCGTGTGGAGTACTTAGAACGCAATTATTATTCCATAGCAGACCGGCGCTATCTGTTTTCCTTATCCCTAGCCCTAGCACACCATCAGCCCTCAAGCCCCGTTTCCTCTGCAGACCTAAGGAACACTGAAGTCTGTCTACCTATCCCGCGAAATGCCATATCTACAAAAGCCCATTCATCCAGTCATGAATCGTTCTTTGTCCAGGAGTCCCTCCCCACCCATCATCCTTTATGTGCAGCGTGTACCACTACCAACCACCAAACACCGAGAACCCTATAACGCCTGTCCAGCGTGCCGTGACACTCACTTATACATGCGATTTTCCAACTGCTCCAAGCATACACGCAGATCCCTCCCAGGTATCTGGCTTAATACCTGCATGCAGGATCCGCAAGCACCGAGGTTGCACCACATGCACCTCCATCGGTCTCTCGTATCTTTCCCTTGGCAGATCATGCAGGCGACCGGGCATTTGCCGTTGGTTGTCCTACGCATGAGCCTGTGTGAATGATAGCAATCGAAATGCACCAGGTCCAGCGGCGGCCCGGGGAATATGAAGCTGGGTGACGCAGGGGACTGGATGGTAGGGAAGAATTGGGCGCGTCCGAGGGGGGAGGTCATGCTTTGGCGGGGAGAGGTGATGCTCAGGGGAGGAGAGGTTGGTGGCGGGTCGGGCGACAGAATCCGTCGAGTGGCTTGCGGTTTCTGCAACTTCGGGGAGCGAGCGGTGGGTTGGGAGTCGATGGTGAGAGCCTCGCTGATATCTGGAGAGTGGCCGTATGACGGGTTAAGGTTCTCTTTGCTCAGCAGCGCCATCGAGGCTATAGGTGCAATGTTTGGAGCGACGATGGTAGCTTCGCTACTGCTGTATTGACTTGAGTCCTGACTTTGAGACTCCGATATTGACGGTAGGACAGGCGGTCTGTCGCCAGGAGGGGTGAACGGCGAAACAGGCGATGGAGCACTCGGCGTTGACAGCCGCGGCTTGCCCTTCCTGGCGTAGTTTTGCATTGAAAGACGAGGACCAGCACCAGGACCGGCGGGATACTGTTGGGGAGGAGGTTTCCGATCCGGCCCTTGAAGCCCTCCATCCTTGGATCCGATATTTCCCTCCACGGAACCCTTCTTCCTCAGCCTGGAGACCTTGCTGCCCATCAAGTCTGGTTGGGGTGGCGCCGGACGGTTCGCGAGAAAGGGAGCCAGTTTCCGGTTTGTTGTTATACTTGGAGGAATTGGAATTTGGCTCTTGCCCGCTTGCTCTTGCCGTCTCGGTGGGCTGGCCGTCGTCGACCCGTTGGATTTGGTCAACTTCAAATCCTCAAATACGATAATGATACTTCCGTCACTCTTCCTTAAAGATCGTCGGCGCCAGAGTGCCTCTTTCTTCTGGGAATTCAAGCTCGAGATGGAATTCGATGCGGATCTTTTGGCGGGTCGAGATTCCTCATAGGCTTCCTGAATCAGGCCGTCTTTGTCCGCTGGCGGCAGAGAAGATGTTGGCCCGAGTCCGACTTCTGAGTCAATCCCGCTCAGCGAATCTTTGGTATTTGTGCTGATGTCCGAGACGCTCTCGGAAGACCCATCGGCGGAACCAGAGCAGACCGACGACACGCTGGCCAGCGAATCCGTCCTGACGGGCAACTTTACTTTGGCGCCTACAGGTTTTCGAGGAATGGCCATCGATTTCTTCGGAACTTCTTTGGGCAAAGCAGGAAGGATCGTCTTCATAGAATTTGGTGCTAATGCCGGAGCTGCCGAGGGCCTTGGAGTTGGGGATGCTGGGGATGCTGACGGTCGGGTAGGGAGAGGCTTCGAATATCGCGAACGACCTCTTCCTGGTGTAGGTGGGAACGGGAAGTACATGATTCCTTGAATTAATTATTATTAGAAATTCCAAGGGCCGGCAACAACAGACATAAAAGTCGTGGGTCCTGGGAGCTTTTACAGGACCTGTCTGGCCCCGGGTCCTGGTCCATACTCCACCAAACTGGGTTGCCGGCCATTCTGAACTGTTGATGTTTTGAGAGAATCGCGACTCTCAGGGGGGCCCGGCATGAAAAGGGACGCTGAAACACCACGGTGAACTGGACCCCATCCAAAGGGTCCATTCATCACATCACCATTCCAATCACGACGAAGAGGCTGGGGGCAGAAAATTATGCATATAAATTCAGGTTACTTTTGATTATTTGATCGGAGATACCATGCTACTCATCTCTAGCAAATGAAGAGGGATGGGGAGAATCCAGGAACCAGAGTGCAGGCCAGCGTAAACAAAATTGCAAAAGCGAGGCGTTTTCAAGGCGAATGAATCATGAGTTCAAAAATAGATGGGATCTGTGAATCAGCGATAAAGTATGTTATCGGCGCTGATTACGCCAAGTTTCTTTCACGGGTAGAGTGTTTATAACGGGACGCCTGTGGCAGGCTACGAACATCATGATGGTTTCTGATCAGATACCGACTTAAATGTAGGGGTACAATCCATATTTGGTTCCTTCTCATACTCGTCTCAAAGTCAAAGTATCACCATGATTGGCGGTACCCAGGTCCCGGGTTTCAACACCAAGCGACCGAGCTTCTTCATTATTGGCAAAAAGCCTTGAAAAAAGTGTGTCGGTTCGTCGCTCCGTTGTATCATCAACGTCATAGCGCCCTGATATATATAAATACATAGGTATATATATATATATCCTTAACCGAGGTCACATCATAGACTGTTGTTCGCAAGCAGTGTCAACGCTCCAGTACGAGTTCCTGCCACTCTGCCGCAGCACCATTTTCGGCGTCTGCTCCCTCGCCAGCTTCTTCACCCTGAACGCATACAGCAAAATTTCCTCATCATCCCCACAATCCATCGGCATGCCCACAGTCTCCGCCGGAAACCCTAGGCTGTGAATGACAGTCCTAACTTCCTCCCTCGTCGGCTTCGTGATCAGATTGGCCTCTCCAAACCAAGCCTGGGTTTCTCTTCCCGGACTTTTCGGACTCCCACAGGCTGAACTCATATCCATGTATGCGCTGTAATGGCCATATGGGCTCTTGAGGTCCTGGTAGGACTTCTCCCCCTCCCCTCGCTGGACACGATTATAGTCTCCTGGCCCCTTTGCGCCGTCTGGTACCCAGAACCGACGATCGATGCGTAACACGGCGTATAGAATTACTACGATGATTTCGGATGTGAAGCCTGTGATATAGAAAACTGATTCGCTTTCGATAGCTCCAGGATTGCTTGCTGGGTTCTTGAGAACGGCTGAAATTAATCTCACAATGGCGCCGGCGAACAGTAGAACAGTCGAGATAAGAAGAATCGCAATCTTGCTTCTGAATCTCCCATGCGCAAATCGTTCAATAGGGATGCTCCGTGGCACAAATAGCGCCGGAACGATAAATAGAATCGGAATGATCGATAAGACGAGGGAGTAGGAGAGACCGAAGAGGAGAAAACCGTGAACGACGATTTCGACCACGGCACTCTGGGAGTAAGATGAGACGACGGTAAAGGTGATGTTGTAGACGATAATAAAAGGGACGGATGAGATGATAAAGAGGAAGAATGTGTTTAGAAAGGGTTTCCAGCCAAAATCGGGGTGTAGCGCCCGGATAATGCGTTGAGTGAAGATAACATTAACCGCGAACAGAACAACTGCGCTGCAATTCATGTCAACAACGCGTGCTCGGTGGATGGTTTGTGGTAAGCACATACCCTGCGTTCTCAAAAATCATAGCAGTAAGAACAAGACTATTGTTGTCCGGCTTGAAAGTCCAGACTATCCGCAGCGTGCAAGTGATCGTCCGCACGAGACAGAAATCGAACATCAAGGCTGATAAATGGAATTTGTGCTGCCTCTTCCTATTTATCTCGTGTGTATAGAAGTGGAAGGCGCCACCGATTAGGAAGAGCATCAGAAAGACCACCGTGATTGGCACATCGAGTGTGGCATTCGGGATACCGCCCAGCACCGCTCCTTGTGCTTTGAAGGGGCCACTTGCCCGGCGTCCCAAGGCGGCTCGTATGTCGATCGACATTCTGAGCTTTTGAGATTTTGAGTAGCGAATGAAGTTGGATGGAACGCAGAGAAATTGGGGCATAGCCGTTATAAGTATAAGTAAGGCTTTTTGCTGCCCATCTTGCACCCGATCTAGCCGATTGCGACCCCGAGGTCATGGTCTTTTCCCGACCATAATTCAATGCAATGAAATGCAGAGGAGCGGGATCAAGCAACAACTGTGCCACCTTCTGTGGAGGAAGAGGCTTGCAGCTGAGAAGTAAGTGCTCAGAATATAGTGCACTTGTGGCATGCTTCTGGTGTACCGGTATGTTCTGCATTGGTGGAGGTCCTGCGGCGGAATGTTGAGGCGGCCATCGAGATAGGTCGGGTTTCAGGATCACGTGTACCGACCGGACTACCACATTTTGTCCGGACGACGATGACAGTTGCTTGTCGTTCTATAGGAAGATTGAAGCTATTTCTGGTATATTGTTAGCTGTTGGCTTTGGCTCTTGGTCTTTTGGCAATACCGATGCGAGGAGAGGGCGAGGAGCGAGCTGCGAGCTGCGAGGTGTCGAGGAGAGAAATGTGAGAAGGTCTACCCTACCAACCGTATGTCTGAATGCTCTGAAAGCCTTGCCGGGTGAGGATCTGGACCACTTACTGAATCACCAGGACATCAGACTTACCGAATTGCCACATCGTACTACGGGCTTAGGCGACCGCACTTCAAAGCGACATCCTTCTGAGCTCAGGCGGTCACTGACCGGAAGGAGTCCGTATGTTTCTGGCTAGAGTTAAGCTTTTTTTTCCGGAACAAATTGAGCCATCCGTGCCCACAGCTCCCCATACAGCTGGCAAGATGGATATCGCACGGCTATGGGTGCGGAAATGGCATGGCTTGGACCTCTGTACCAAGCTTGGATGCTTAGGGGCTGGCCAACGGTGCCTCGTAGTACGAGTCCCGGGGTAGCGGGAACAAGACGGGAAGAAAAGACGGTTGGTGTCAAGTAGAGGCATATCCACCTGGGAGCTTCTAGTGAATAAATGATTTATTTGGATTGTTGCGAAGTCCCGCTTATATCTACTGAAAAGACGAGTTCATTGAATATTCTGTTGGCCGGTAAGTTGTACAGTGATTTGATGCTAAAGAATGAGTGATCATGCCTTAGAAGATCAAGTTCCAACGATCAGCATAAGTCCCTTGTCACCCTGCAACAAAACAAAAGCAGCATGCGTTGAACCTTGACAAGTATTGATTGATATTGATGTTATTTATACGAGTACTTTTGGCGACGAGACGTGAGCGCCGCTCGCTTTGCCAAGACCATTTGAACGGAACGGGTTAAAACCGCGATTTGTATGGTTACTCACCTTCGACATCAACCAAACCTTCGCCCTTACTATGTCCGCCATTCCCTCCAGAACGAAATCGCTACGCCACGCTGGGGCTGGAATATCCCAGGGAGACCGCTCGAATGTAGCTTTAGACCCAGAAGGGGCAGTGCGTGGCAGTCAATCCCCGAGTCGATTGCCCGTAAAACCGCCAGCGACTCGCACAACTAGGAGTACATCAACATCAGCAGCAGGGCGCCCTCCCAGCGCAACGGGTAGCATTTCTAGCTATGCTTCCACCATGCGGCCACCTCCGGGCCCCCCTCGAGCCGGCACAAGCAAGCCTGCAACTACTGGCGGATTACAGAGGTCGACTTCGAATCGTCGCTCAAACCCCCCACCAGTAACAGCAGAATCAGAGCCGGCGAAGAAAGACCGGTCACGGCCTCCGATAGTCTCTCGTCGTCTCCACAATTATTCGACCAGTTCATTCCCTACCTCGACGACAAATCCACCAAGCCATACCCGAACGCGATCCTCGTCTACCCTCTCGAGTCTCTCCACCGCCCCCCCGCCATCAAAACGAAACTCAGTCGAGATACCTAGGCTCCAGCCCTCGTCAAAACGGAGCTCAGTCGAGATACCCAGACTGCTGCCCTCGTCAAAACGGAGCTCGGTCGAGGTACCCAGACTACCGCCTCTAAATTCCGATGCCCAGCTGAAGAAACAGACCTTTTCAACTTACCAGCAACATTTCTCTCCTGCCAAAAATCTTGGCCCCAAACCCTTGACAGCGGCTTACCTTGCTCCTCCCTCACCCAGCAAGCTTCCTTCGAACATTGCGATATCGGCAGAAACTGCCAGATTACAGAATGAGTTGTTACAACTGCATTTGCTACACAGACATGCTGGACAGGTAGAGAAGGAATGGAAGACCAGCGCGAAGCTAAAGCTAGAAGCCCGTTTCCACTCCATCGTTGATATGAACGAGAAACTACTGCAGGTGGAAATCGAAGAGACTGGAAAGATCAATGCTTTGGCCATAAAGTCGTGGCAGGATTTGGGAGCACCTGGATGGGGGTTAGAAGGGAAGATTCAGGCTCTGGATGAAGTAGTTACAGGGGTTTGGAATCTAGGCGAGTCTGGTGGGAAGTATTCACGGATTGTGAGGAAATTTGAGAAGTGGCTCAGGAGGTGTCAAGATATTATGGAGGCTCGGGCACATGGCGAGGGTCTCGACGGGGCCGAGGTTGTGTTCTTGGATGAGCTCGATAAGGCGTGGAAGGACGATTGCTTAGCCATTGGAAGAAAACTGGAAGCATGGAAGAATCGCTTGAGAGAGTTGGGGACGCCCGACCGTGGTTCAAGCTTGAGTGTGGTAGTGGCTGGGTGCCGAAGTCTTGTGGGAGGCATGCTGGCTGAGTTAAGCACTATGGCACAGATTGAACGGGACGCTATGAGGATGGAGGTGGAATGGATAACGAGTATTAATAACGAAATGATGGACGATAAGGATGATACCCCTGTGGCAGGGGCAATATGGAGGTCTCGATAGAGTCAATGAAATCCGGATGCCTATGGACGTTTTCTGAGATATTGGCCAACTCAATTACCTCTGGTAAGTTACTGACCCCGGAAAAGTTGCGAGGAACTCAGAAAGCCCTCTTTTCTCGAAATTATTTACTTGGATACAATCATTACGGTACCTGGAAGCGTCTCGGAGTGTTGAAGCCATGGAAAAGTCTTGGCAATAGCCCTTGAGACCACACCTCCGAGACCCCACTTCTGGTGCTGGAATTCAAGAACTTGGATTGCAAGCCAAGTACCAGAATTTCCAAACCAACCATATCACAAAGGCAGGATGGCAGCCTCTCCAAAGTATCTCTCCGGAGATTCAGCTGCGATCCGCGAGTTTATCGATGAGTTCGACGTGCGTTGGTCAATCCGGAACGAAGCATCTTCCGTATAGGCCAACTCTTACTGACTTGAAATCCAGATCTTTCTACTTGATTGTGATGGTAGAATCCATTGAATTCCCAGCCCGAGCGAAACTTGCTAAGAGATCTGTCTACCAGGAGTACTCTGGTCTGGAGACCACCTGTTCCCCGGGACTGTCGAGACGCTGGAGTTCTTGAGATCTCAAGGTTAGACCTAGAAATACCCCGCCATGCTTGACAAACGTTGACCCCTCCAAGGCAAGAAAATCGTCTTCGTCACCAACAACTCGACGAAATCCCGAGCGGACTACCAGAAGAAGCTCACATCTATGGGCATACCCAGCGACGTCGAGGAAATCTTCGCATCGGCCTACTCCTCCGCCATCTACATCTCCCGCATCCTCAAGCTCCCAGGACCAAAGAACAAAGTCTTCGTAATGGGCGAGAGCGGCATCGAGACGGAATTGAAGAGCGAGGGTATTGAGTTTATTGGAGGAACAGACCCTGCCTATCGACGAGACATCACACCAGAGGACTACACTGGGATTGCAGATGGATCTTTGCTGGACGATAATGTGGGCGTCGTGCTAGCTGGTCTGGATTTTCACGTCAACTACCTGAAGCTCTCGCATGCCTATCACTATATCAAACGCGGAGCGGTGTTCCTGGCTACCAACCTCGACAGCACGCTACCCAACAGCCACAGTTTCTTTCCTGGTGCGGGCTCGATAGTCATCCCGCTCATAAATATGTCTAAACAACAGCCCACGGCATTGGGCAAGCCGAGTCAGGCAATGATGGATTCAATAGAGGGGAAGTTCCAGTTTGACCGTAAGAAGGCGTGTATGGTTGGAGACAGGCTTGACACTGATATCAAGTTCGGTATTGAGGGCAAGCTTGGAGGAACGCTGGCTGTCCTGACGGGAGTCAGCAAGAAGGAACAATGGGAAGCTGAAGATGCTGCGGCCGTTCCAGCTTATTATGTTGAGAAACTGAGCGATCTGAAGGGTTGAGAAATTGTATGCTCTGGACTGCACAGGGTGTTCTCATTCTTGTCGCTCTGGGAACCTGGCGCAGCATAGACGACAGAAAAATAGATGCGATGATGTTGTTATTGCTGGGATTTCATTTTGGAGGTGGCACTAAGAGTTTGGGGGGGTGGGGGTTGGGGAGAGGGGGGGGGGGGGCAAGCATGCTTTACTCCGTACTGCGTACTGCGATCGGTAGAGAAGGCTTGGAAATCCTCAAGATCGCGGCTTACGGGCACTTGCTTACGCAGATATCGTGAAGACTTACTTATGAGAGTCTACGCACAGGATTTTGGCGGACGACCTGGGATAAGAGCTTCATCCTCCATGCAGTCAGAAGTATAATTGTCTCGGCTATGGAAAATGGAAAATACGGATACTTTATTGTGGTTCGTGCCAAATCGGCCCCCTGTGTCTCTATCAGTAATACATAAGTTGTAGTAGTAAATACGTAGTTCGTACCTAGTATGTTCATTAGCCCGAGGCCCTGAAAAAAGATCGTCGTTGCCAATAACATTCGCACAGATGGTCACCCATATACTGGGAAAAGGAACACTCGGAACATCGGCTTGATTGGGCAGGAGGAAAAGCTCCGCCAATCTCAGGGTCTTCTCTTGGTAGTGGGGTACCGGTAGGTTGCGGGGCGAAGGGTCCACCGAGCCACCGAGCCACCGAGCCACCGAGCCACCGGCAGTGACTCCAATTCCCACTACCATCCCGTATTTAAATCTCCAATATTTCTTCTCGGGTGCCCGTCCCATCTCCATCCCTATCCCCATTCCCATTCCCCTTTCCATACTCAATCCCATTCCCGTCCCCATTCCCCAGTCTTCCCTCTTATTATTATGACATATCCGTCTCTGAAATGCAATGGACAGCGACGGGGCGTTTGAGGAAGAAACCTGCTACCTCATGTCGAAACGAGAACAAATCACCGATGCCCTCATCGAGCGGCCCTACGACTTGATCGCATACCTCGAGAGGGCCGAAGTACATAGTGAGCTGGGATACCCCGATCTGGCGGCGGGGGATAGTTACAGGGCGCTGCTCCTTTGCGACGAAGTTGCCAATGAAGGCTTCGAGTACCACGAGCAGGCTTTGGCGACTCTACGGGCTCGGGGGGCAAAAGGAACACCCATAGTTCTGCGGAGTTCGAGTATTAGGCATTTCGATCTTACCAGCGAAGTGGAGGCCATGAAGGTGGAGGGTCAGGTGGACAAGAAGGCTCTGGATCTGGTAGGCATCGCAACTATACAATGTTACCGCTCCCTCGCCATCAGCCTGCTCCTCTGCGGCTGTCTGAAAAGTGCATACGACTTCTGCACGAGAGGATTGGCTGCGGCGCCGGGGGACGAAGAGCTTTCGCAGGCCAAGGAATATATTGAGCATATGGCGAAGAGGAGGTTAAAGGTCAAGGAATTGGATGTTGCCAATCTGCCTGACCAAGGGCTAGTACGGCGAGAGATCTATCCATGGAATGATCACGAACCGAACCGCTACTCGCAAGAGACCTTGGAATTTCTTAACAAGCAGCTGGCCGAGATATCATCAACTGTCGAAGCTAGGATAACCGAGTTGCCTACTCTCCTGGAATTCTCTGGCAACAATATGGATGACTCTGGATCCTTGCGAACGAATAAGCAGTTAGGGCTATTTGCGAAATCAGACATACAACCTGGTGAGACAGTACTGGACGAATTCTCCCTCCTGGCTGCGAACAATCGTCTCAAGGATAACTTGTGCGATGCTTGCAGCTCGGAACTTCCTCCTCTGACTGCAAACAGCACCGTAGTAGGTTGCCCGGACTGTGAGGACATCATGTTCTGCAATGACTACTGCTTAAGTAGGGCACAAGAGGAATATCATCCAGCCGTGTGCGATAAGGATATCGATACGATAGCCAAGGACCCCGACCCAAAAGAGAAGCCACATGCCCTCTACCTACTGCTCCTCTCACGCTCGCTAGCTATGGCGGCGACCCAAGGGACTCACCCCCTGGAATTGAAAGAAGTTAAGCACATCTGGGGTGACTTCTTACCCAGTTCCGCAAACGCCGTTTCATTGTCGGTTAATGCTCCACCTCCTCCTGTCTGGACCCTTCCCTTCTCCTTCCAATACAACATCTCCGGACCCCTCCACGTCCTAGAGAAAATGGGTATTGATATTTTCGCCGAACTTCCCATGTACGACCTCTGGATTCTCAATACGCTTTACAGCAAATTTCGCGGCACTGCCTCTGCTCGTGTCAATAAACGGAATGGGCATCCCGAGGTCGCTGCTGTTCATCCGCTCTGGTGTCTAGCCAACCATGACTGCAATCCGAATGTGCAGTGGGAGTGGGAAGGGCGCATGAAGCTCTGGTGCAGAGACAAAAGGATCGGAGGGTTGCCGGGAGGAATTAAAGCGGGAGAGGAAATACTGAATCACTATTGTGACATCGATCTAAAAGTCAAGGATAGGAGAGAATGGGCACAGGGAAGTCTGGGAGGCTATTGTATGTGCGAGAGGTGCCGGGTAGAGGCTGCTGAAGAGGCAGGGCCGAAGACGCAAGTCACGAATGGGGTTACAGGGGAGCATTTGAAAGGTCGGGTCGCTGCTTGATTTGGCATTCCTTGCATATGATATAAATAGATGATTATTACCAGTCGCCACTCCTCAATTAGGTGCATATTGCTTATCCTCAAATGAACGAAGAAAGAAGAGAAAGAGAAGTAAGAAAGTTACAAATTATGATGTGGATCTGATTTCTGCACCCAGGTAGTCAGAATGATCGTTCTTCTAGTGGTAATTTGGTCATTGGAAGTGCTACCTACTTGGATTATTTCAGACCTCAAGCGGAGCTTGAACCGGATATTAGGTAACGATCTACGGAATCGATACGCAGGACGAGCTGAAGGAAGTCGTGATGAGGACGTTGCCTGTGGTGGATCTTCAGACCCTCGTGTTACCTAGCCAACAATCTACGCGGCTCATATAAACTGCTTGACCAAGCTGACGCGCCTGGCTTGAACATCAACTTCGAACATTAAATTCGACACTTCCCCACGATTGTGTCCTATTATCTACCGATTGTACAACTGTTATCGTCTGCATCACCCTCCCCATCTTCGTACCCGCTAGATCTCGAATCCCCTTTCCAAATGGCAGCTGCACCACCACACCCCCTCGACTGGGACACTTTGCGGAATTCCTTAAATCGTCTGCATCAATGTACGACTGCAATCGCAAACGTGCTCTAAGCCTCCGCTATTATCCCCGAATGTCTGGCCTTTATGTCGACTCAATTAAGTCTTTTGAAACATCAGCCTACAAATCAAGCCTTGCATGAGCAGATGGTGGTCATGATATAGCAGAACAAGACCTTTCAAAGAGTTTAGATAACTTGCAGCAAAGTTTACATAACTAAGAGCAAAGTCTGAATGACTTAGAGCAAAGTGCTACTCGTCGATTCGATATAATGTACGTCTATCTCTCCCTTCTATTCCTTACGCCTTATCACTTCGAATCGTACTACAAACTCTCTACTAATATGAACCACGCAGGTCTGTTAACACCAACGCTTCTTTCTGCCACGCAAAATTGAAGAACGATACAGACCAGCTCCGCGAATTTGTACATAAAACAACTGGCCTCCCTATCCCGATCTTCCCTAATACACCGGCAGCCTTAAATGGCTTGACATGTTAAGTCAAAATCGAGACGGCCTTTACAGTACTATGCAATGCGTTCTATTACTGATCGATTGATTTCTAACAGGGCCGGCTCGGAGCAAGTCTCGGCTTCTCAATTCCCGTTAGCAACGCACAAGTTACGGAAAAAAACATACTTCTGATTTGAGGGCGAAAATAGGGTTGAAGCCGGATCGTTTGACGCCCGCGTAAATCGACTTCGGCACGTGGTGGATTACTTCGAGAAAGATAGATGGTCGTTCGGTTAAGCTTGGGTTCGGGTCTAGGCTTGGGAGAATATGTAGTGCTCATTGGGAATGGACTATCCAAGGAGGCAACACTTAGAGTTGTGCGAACGAATGAATATGTTTAGAATGAAAGGAATCCTGTCAATGGAATTTTTGACAACTTGCCAAAGGAAAGCTACGACCTGACCGCGATCCCAATGCTTTAAAAAGGTGGTATATTGACATGATGAATAGCCGCATCGTGATTGGTGTCCGAGTAAAAGTTGACAAAGGGCTGGGTAACTTTTGAAAGTGTTCGGAGATTGGCTTGGATACAGAGAGGAATAGTCGGAGGAGAAGAATAGCATATCTGACTGTTCCATTCGAATTATTCGATTGCCGTTTCATCTCCTGTGAATGCTCTCCATTCACGTTCCTAGTGTTTTATGGCGGCCACTCAGCACTTTGCTTTACCAAACCTACCGCAGCGAGGGTAAGAGACTGACTTGTGGGAAGCTACTTGACATCCATCGGAGGTTTCAGAGGTAGGGATCTCTTATGAAGGATGGAATGGTTACTTAGGTAGGAGGTAAGTACCGTACTGACTATTGTCGGTAAGTAGCAACTTTCCCTACCCCTGAAAGTCAACAACGCTAGTACCTGATCGTCGTGGTGGGGGGGGGAGATACGCGAGCATGCCAATCTCACGCTAGGACATTTGACCCGTATATTCGATCCTCTGCGTCATGATCGAACCTCCACATCTTTGCACGATTCTAGACTCGTCACGAAAGGGAGGAAGAGAAGGCAACAATTTATCTAAAGAAATAATATTGCCGAAACTAACTAACTACATGTCTCGGTAGTCGCAATCGCAATGGCCAAACCCAGAGTGATCTACTGGTTCCGGACGGATCTGCGACTGCACGATTCTCCAGCCCTGAGAGCCGCTTTGGACCTCAATGCTGAGGCCTTCTGGCCGATATGGACCTGGGATCCTCACTATGTCTACCGAGCCCGGGTCGGGACGAACAGATGGCAATTCCTGTAAGTCAACCAAAAAAACAGCAAACAACTCCTAGGATGGCCGCCAGCTGTGTCTGCTGCTCCGCGAGTCTCCTAACAAAAATTCGTCAGGATCGACTGCCAAGACGACGTCTCCAAATCCATCACCAAGCTCAACGAGAAATCAAAATTGTTTCTGATGAGGGAAGCGCCGCAGACGCTGTTCCCGAAGCTCTTCAAAGCGTGGAAGATCACGCATCTGGTCTTTGAGAAGGACACGGATGCCTATGCCCGAGATCGAGATGCGGAGATCATGAGAGCTGCCAAGGAGGCGGGCGTAGAAGTCATTGTGCGTTCTGGCCGCACGTTATGGGATAGCGATGAGTTGGTGAAGAAGAACCGCGGGAAGCCGACTATGAGTATCAGCCAGGTCCAAGCTGCCGGCCCGAAAGTCGGGCCTATACCGCGCCCGATACCTGCGCCGGAATCGATCCCGGATCCAGGCGAGACGAGTCTGGATTTCGAGCAGCATCATCCGGAACGGGATCCGGATTTTAACAGGAGGACGAGAGAGAAGAGTGATAAATCCTATGAAAGCATTGCAGGACCTAATGGGGATTTCGCGCCTCCGACATTGGAAGAGCTTGGTTTTCCTGCAGCAACGACACCTCACCGTGGCGGCGAAACCGTCGCCCTCAAGGCCCTGGACAAGCTTATAGCGAATGAGAAATACACTGCCACATTCGAGAAACCCAACACCGCCCCGACGGCCTTTGAACCACAATCCACCACCCTCCTCTCCCCACACCTGCACTTCGGCAGCCTCGGTATCAGGGAGTTCTACTGGCGTGTCCAAGACGTCGTCGACTCGTTTTCTGGCAAGGCCTCCGGTCCTCCAGTATCCCTGACCGGCCAGCTCCTCTTCCGCGACATGTATTTCGGCGCGCAGGCTTCACTGGGTTACGCCTTTGGGCAGACGATGTACAACTCGCACTGCCGCTTCATTCCCTGGCACCTCCCTTCCAAGGTAAACCATGACACCAAACTCGTAATGGGGGAGTACCACATCGATTCTCCCCAGGCCGAGGAGTGGTTCCAGAGGTGGAAGAACGGGGTGACTGGGTTCCCGTGGATCGACGCCCTGATGCGGCAACTGAAGCAGGAGGGCTGGATCCACCACCTAGGCCGGCACGCCGTCGCATGTTTCCTCACCCGCGGCGGGTGCTACATCTCCTGGGAGAGGGGCGCCGAAGTCTTTGAGGAGCTGCTGCTCGATCACGAGACGGCGTGCAATGCTGGGAACTGGCAATGGCTGTCCTGCACGGCGTTCTTTGCGCAGTTCTACAGGTGCTACTCGCCGGTGGCTTTTCCGCAGAAATGGGACAAGGAGGGGAAGTTTGTGAGGAAATATGTGCCGGAGCTGGCCAAGCTGGATAAGAAATTTATATACGAGCCTTGGAGAGCGCCCTTGTCGGAGCAGAAGAAAGCAGGCGTTAGCGTGAAGGGCGATGGGCAAGGGAAGGAGAAAGGCGTGTACCCAAAGCCGATGTTTGAATTCGCGGAGAGGCGGACGGTGTGTATGGAGGGGATGAAGGAGGCGTATAAGGTAGGTTTGTACGGGGATCATGAGAAGGTTGTTGATGGGACGTGGAGGGAGCTGTTTGGAGATGTGGGGGAAGGTCCGACGGAGGGGAAGAGCTTTGAGGATGCGATGGGAGAGGGGAAAGGGAGTGAGGATAAGATTCGGGATGGGGGGAGTGTGGATGGGGACGACGATGCTGTGGCCGAGGACGAGAACGGTGCTGCTGAGATGGGAGGCGAAAGCAGGGGAGGTGATCGGACGAAGAAGATCACTAAGCGAAAGGGGCAGGGAACTTTAGACGGGCTCGTGAAGCGAACGAGGCGCAAATCGTAACGGCTGTCAAGAGCAAGCGCGGCGCTCTGTAGGGACAAGATGGACCTTGCTATCGGGTGTAGCCGTTAGACGCAGTGTCCAAATCGGTAAGTCATGTCACATATTTCTATCCCATCGAAGCTTATCGTTTCTCCAGCGCTGTTCGTCACTCACTTGTAACAGGGAAATTCGACATTAACACAAGCAGGCAAGTCCGGACTCGAAGCAATATATATATATATATATATGCCCAAACCGACCCTATAAAAGTGCAGGAAAGAACTCGAATAGTACATAGGATTATCAAACATGTATCTCGGGAAGCAGGAAAAAGAGGCATGAAATCGAGCCAAAAGAAATCGCCCATTTTACACCTCTCTATCTCAAGTTTTCCTAACTCGAACGCCTCATCCCATGCATTTTACATCTGTAGTCTTCATATTCGTATCCGTAGTCGCTCTGATCTAGTCATCCCACTCCTCATCCAGCTGATCGATCAGGCGGTTCTCGTCTTCTGCTCCGCCGTTTCGACCGCGGCCGCTGCCGTTTGCCGAGGCGGACAGTGCGCTGTACCCCCTTCTTCTCGGCATGAGGCGAGAACATGATGAAGTGGCAATGACAAAAACATCCTAAGGTTGAATTGTCAGCATGGTTACTCGAGAGGATTGTGGACCAAATGATATGTGGAGGGCTTGAAAGGAGTGAAGTTCAAAATGCGCCGCTATATGCAATTTTTCTATCCTATAAGCACCCAAGCTATGCAACAAACACAAAAGAGAAGGATAAAGTCTGTACAGGAGTGTATATAAGGTATAACAATAAAGTGACCGAGAATCCGCACGTCTTTCGTAAAAGATCCAGCCATGGGCCATATCACGAAAGATGGGAAGAGTCCCATGACGAACTTGACAAGTACGTTCTATGAGGCTTTCTCATACCAGGTAACGGCCGCATCGTAGGGAGAATCCCTTCCCGTACAGAAGTCACCCTGGGAAATATCTTCTGCTTTGACCGCTGAACACAAAAGCTGGCGCTCACCTTTATGAAGCTGCCAATGCCCGCCCACATACTGTAATTCGGTAGTTGCCTCCATCCGCGAGCATGCGCTACGTTGCGCTGGTAGAACACACCGCCGAGGAAGTATACCATGATTGCGATGACACCGATAGTACCGAAGAGGGCCCCGGGCCCGATTGATTGTTTGGCAGGCTCTGCTGTGATGCAGGCTGCGCGGGAGAGGACTTCGAAGTGGTATGAGCACTCCTCTGGGTCTGTCCCGACAAAGGTTGCGGTCGCCTGAGTTGCGAGAGGGTCTTTGTCGCAGTGGAATGATATTATAGTAGACTTCCGGCGAACGAGATCCTCGCCCTCCGCTCTGATTTCCTTATGCCCCTCCTCCGGATCCAACGTCGATCGTTTCTTGTCACTTGTACACGGAGACCCATTCGTGTATTGAAGAACAAGTCTCCTTCCTCGCAGAGTCAATTCCGAAGAGTTCTGCCTGAACTGAGATCAGTAGCGACCGGGAAAAACCTCGATATCTTCCTTACCCAATGGAATATGTCTTCCCCCCGAGATTATAGTATGCGCTAACATTCCTCCACATATTCTTGTCGACGCCCACAACATCTTCCACCTTCGACACCACCGGCGCGCAGATGTTGAGAGTAAAGTTCGCCCCATTGTCGTGATAGTCATAGCCTTTCGCATGCCAGTCGTCCACCTTGTCCCCTTTCGCAGGCTTCTTGTCATCCGCTGGCGGCGCTATGGATAAAGACCTCAAATCATAGAAAGCCCCTGTCGTTGATCCAACTGTGCACGGATCCAGCACCTTCTCGTCTTTCTTTTCGGAGGTGGCGCCGTTCACCCCGTAATGCAGTACGAGAGTGACGAGTAAGCTGGTTGGGAGGGTTGGGAAATGCATGGTGAGGTGTGGGCTGACGCGTGTACCAGAGCGCCTCGAGGCGCAACAGGATAGAGGGATGTGATGACGGCTTGCAGATAGGGATGAGAAAGGGAATGGGAGTGGAGCTGTGGATGTGGATGAGGAGGTGGAGGTAGATGTCGATAATGTAGTAAAACTGGAACAGTTTACTCTTCAGCAGTCCTTGTATGGAAATAGATTGCTTCCCTTGAAGACAACGTCACTTTGCCGCCACGTGATATGAAATTCTGACCCCTTTTGTCCCCGCAAATACATAAATAAAACTACGGAAGTACCGAATCTGCGTAGGCGAGGGAGATTACCACGTTTTGTTTACTTTCTGAAACCCTCTTTCGAGATTGTTCTGAACAGTGCTGGCTGTACTGTACTGATGAGTTGAATGTTCCTGCAGAAATTTCGATGAGATGGTAATACCGGTACCTCATCAGTCAAGAGTGGGTGAGTGAGTGGTACACAGTTTCTCCAATCTTCCATGCATCGATGCATCGGATTACGCGTTTGGAAGGGTGGCGAAGAGATTGTAGAAACTGTAATTTGTAGACACAAATAAAGTAGCTGTAGCTTTCCTCTGAGTTGAATATACTACGTATGAATATACATCAGGCGTTCCGTCCGTAAATAGCCAGCTAACCTAACCTTTGCACTACTTTTTGTATCATTTCCAAACATCAGTTTAAGGACTACGGATAGATCGATCTCCCGCAGGGTTTATATGGTCTGTATAGCACGGGCCGCTCCCTGGCTCTCATCTTGACCTGCATCTCCGACTTGTATCTTGGAGTCATTATCGAAATAAATCCGAACACAAGCGTAACGCGGGGGAACACGATCCGGAGTCCCAACCCTCACAACTCTCACGACTGGATGAGCCCTTTCTATCTATCATCGCTCTGATTCTATCGACCCTCGGCTCGACTCCAATATGGCGTCAAAATCCTCAAAGACAGTAGCTGTCCAGCGCGCCGAACCGCACGGCTATGAATTTGGTGGCCCGTATGTTTTTCCACCCCGTGTTGTCGGGTTTGTGCTGATGAAATGCAGACTCGGTGCTTTCGGTATCTCTTTCGGCCTGCCAATCGCTGTCTATGCTGCGACCTTCCTCTGTAATGACATTTCTGGTTGCCCAGTACCCTCGGCACTTTCTCCCTCGACCTTGACCATAGAGCAACTCAAGCGCGACGTAGGATGGCCAGCAGATGGAATCTATGGATTAGCGAGTTGGGATGTGAACATGAAGGTGCTGGGATACTATCTGCTTAGTTTGGTCCTTCATCGGGTACTACCAGGCGAGGAGATAGAGGGGGTTGAGCTTGCGGCTGGAGGAAAGCTCAAGTACAAGCTCAACAGTATGTGGCATACCCAACTGTCCCAGACAGCTCTAACCCCATGGCAGCATGGTCCTCTACGATGTTTACTTTCGCCATTCTCGCTGCAGGCACTGCATACCAAGGCGCAGACTTTCCGGTATGGACTTACATCTACGACAATTACCTCCAAATTGTCACGGCCAACATGCTCATATCATACTTTCTGGCAACATTCGTATATGTGCGCAGCTTCAGCGTGAAGCCAGGCAATGCGGAACTGCGCGAGTTGGCAGCTGGCGGACATACGGGTAACATGCTATACGACTGGTTCATTGGTCGCGAACTGAATCCTCGAGTCACTCTTCCCTTCCTGGGCGAAATCGACATCAAGGAATGGTGCGAACTGCGGCCAGGCTTGATGGGATGGATTATCTTGGACTTTACCTTCATCGCCCACCAGTACAAGACATATGGCTACATCACCGACAGCATTGTCCTGGCCACATTGTTCCAGACCCTCTATGTCTTGGATGCTTACTGGATGGAGAACGCAATTTTAACCACCATGGACATCACAACTGATGGCTTCGGTTTCATGCTTGCATTCGGTGATCTTGCTTGGGTACCCTTCGTCTACTCTTTCCAAGCCAAATATCTCGCTACATACCCTTTGAGCCTGGGTCCCTATGGCTGTGCTGGTGTCCTCAGTGTCCTGGGCTTCGGGTACTACATCTTCCGGAGTTCCAACAACGAAAAGAATCGGTTCCGAACCGACCCGTCCGACCCACGAGTCGCCCATCTGAAGTACATTGAGACTAAGTCTGGCTCTAAGCTTTTAACATCTGGGTGGTGGGGAACAGCTCGCCACATCAACTATCTCGGAGACTGGATCATGTCCTGGGCCATGTGCCTCACTACAGGTCTCTCTGGCTACCTCGTTCAGCACAGCTCGGTAGCTCCAGCGCCTGGCATGTCCCTTGCCGACAAGTCATTCGTCTATGAAGGACCTACAAGCTACACTGAGGTCTTTCAAGGCTCCGCGAGAGGATACGGCGTCATCATCACCTACTGGTACATGTTCTACTTTGGTATACTTCTCATCCACCGTGAGATGAGAGACGAAGAGAAGTGCATTCGCAAGTACGGTGATGATTGGAAGCGATACTGCGAGATTGTCAAGTACAGGTTAATCCCTGGTATCTACTGAGCATCTCGGTGCGGTGGTGGTCTATCTAGAGGCCCGGCTTAATCGAAGGTGTATAGAGCCTGGTCGGGAGAGAGGTAGGTCTGTCTATTAGGACTGAGCATAGATGCCGCTAGAGAAAGTGGGTGGCTCGATAGAGCACTCGATAGAGCAATCGATGCGCAATGAATTAGTGATTCCCCGAGTAATGGCTTTGAACACTGAGAAATTCCCATCGTTCACGAATGCCTTCCTTTCTGCTTGGTGGTGATGATGTAGAGCTGCATGTCCACGATGCAGGTGAAGCAAGCCTGCTGGCAGCAGTGCAGATTCGGGCCGACGGTGACAGGGCCAGTGGTACTCTATGGTAGGCGGATGGTGGACGATGTGACCCGGGTTCTGTACCCCATACCGTATGTCGGATGGGTGTACCTCGGTCTGCGAAAGCTGGAGTTAGTAGTACATTCATTCTATGCATATCGTCTGATGATGTCGACACGAGATGAAGAACCAGGGTCGCGTACCGCATTATCTTGCATGATGTGCTTACCGATCTTAGAGGTCGACATAGACTCTTCTTGTTTTTTTGAGGTTTTCCTATAGGTTGACGACGAGGGACTTCGCTTAACCGAGGGTAGAAAGACGCGACAGTCATTTTGATAAAAGTCAGTCAGTCAGTCCGGAGAGAGATGCACCGAAAGCCACTTTCTTTTCGGCGTGGTCGGGAGAATTACGAAGAGAGGACAGATTGATTCGAACTACTGTTATCAGGACTTATTGCCTTAGCCAGCCCCGTCCTCTTCCCCATCTCGTCTGCCGGCTCGTCTCCGGAGCCGAGCAATGAAGCAGGTATTGTAGTACGTAGTAGTCTATGTGCCCGTCAGGTCAGAACTCGGGACGGAGATTCTTGATCGGAGATGGCCGATCGAGGACTTACTATGTGTAGTACCCTGCGCTGCCAGAGCTCTGTAGGATAGGTTGGTTGGTAGGTCCTAGAACAGACACACTCGATGAGATGTGCTACCAGTAGAGTGTATCTTGATCACTTGAAATGAACAAAACGCTAAATAGGTAATTAATTACATGGGTAAGTAAGTAAATCAGTCCCTTTTAACTTATGATTACGTACCATCATACCTATCCTCAAAAGGCGATGCCGAGATGTAAACTCAACAAAACAAAGTAGGAGCAAGGGATCGATCCACTTGCAGATCTTTAGGTTTGTTGGTGATCCTCGCAACAGTTACTCCGCACCTCATGACTTAAATCATTCGGATAATTTATAATTGTAAGAGGAACTCGACGACCCGATCTCAACCAGCCCTTCCCAGTTCCACAGCACAGCCCCAGTAAGTATTAGTAGTTGGTCTCGGCGGCCTCCGTTCGACAGCGGAATGCCCAAATAAGTAGTAAGTAGTAAAGTAATGCAGCCTGCCGATCTGATTGTCAACCAGCCAGCCACCCCCACAACAACGGAAGAGGAGAGAAGCTCGCGATCTTCCGCGGAGGGAAAGCTTGGACAGAGAAAGAATGGTGGGGTATGGCTGGTGCTGATCGATCGGCGGAAGTATAAGTATATATAAAAGAGCTTGCCTGCCTGCCTATAAAAAGAATAATAGGGTAAAAGAGTTGTAGGACATCTTTCTCTGATTCGGCCAGAATTTTTGTTTTGTTTGTATTTGGTGGAGAACTCGCTTCGCTCAGGATGTTTTTCACCTCGATCACCGGCGTCACCATGCTGGCGTGCCTGGCAACCAATATCAACGTCGCTTCCTCTCTGGTATCACGACAAGTAAGCTCAACACTCTTTATTCTTTTCTCTCTATCTCTCTCTCTCTCTCTCTCTCTCTCTCTCTCTCTCTCTAATATTCATGTATCATCCCCCACCAACACCTCCATACACCATACACCATACACCATACACCATACACCATACACCATACACCATATCTTTTCTTCCCCAGCATTATCCATACTCGCCATCACGCACTTGCTGCATCCATATTCCTGACTTCTTGCAATCGCGATGTGGATCGTCAGCGAGCTGCTGATTGCCGTCGCGATATTTTTGGGCAAAGACCCCCAATTGACAGTCCCGCAGACGTCTCCGGATGCAACCACCTCCGACTCGCGATTCTCGGAGCCGTTCTACCCGTCGCCGTGGATGAATGGGCAGGGCGAGTGGGCCGATGCGTATGCCAAGGCGAAAGATTTCGTGTCACAGCTCACGCTGCTTGAGAAGGTCAACTTGACGACGGGCGTGGGATGGCAAGGCGAACAGTGTGTTGGACAAGTAGGTTCTCTCAAACACTTATATTCTAATAGATATATCTATATAACCACGATTCTCTCGGACTCTGAGTGTTAACATGGGATACTATAGGTTGGCTCCATCCCGCGTTTGGGTTTCCGGAGTCTGTGTATGCAGGATTCGCCAGTTGGAGTCCGTTTTGCGGACTATGTTAGTGTTTTCCCTTCAGGTCAGACTGTTGCGGCAACTTTCGACCGTAGTCTTTTCTATGCGAGAGGCTACGCCTTGGGCAAGGAGCATAAAGCCAAAGGAGTCACTGTTCAGCTCGGCCCGGTGGCAGGACCCATTGGACGTAGTCCAGCAGGAGGACGTAACTGGGAAGGATTCTCTCCTGACCCGTACCTAAGTGAGTACACGCATCCATCCACGACCGTTTTCTCAACACTAGTTCTTACTCGGATTTTAGCTGGTGTTGCCATGGCCGAGACCGTCAAAGGTACGCAAGATGCTGGGGTCATTGCTTGTGCTAAGCATTTCATTGCCAACGAGCAGGTATGGAACCTCTGATCCACTCCACGGAACTCACCAAGTACTCACTGTTACAAGGAATCCTTCCGTCAAGCTTCCGAGGCTGTAGGGTATGGGTTCAACATCACAGAGTCCATCTCCTCAAATATTGACGATGTCACCATGCACGAAGTCTATGCCTGGCCTTTTGCGGACGCAGTTCGCGCTGGCGTTGGGTCGATTATGTGCTCTTACAACCAGATCAACAACTCGTATGGCTGCCAGAATTCGAAGTTGCTCAATGACCTCTTAAAGAACGAGTAAGTCTTGCCTCTCTCGCACAGTCCCAGCATTAAATCTCCAGGAATTGCCTTTTATATCCCCAGAAAGCTTTCAGGTAGCATTCACTGACTACTCGCCTCTTGTCAGATTGGGTTTCCAGGGGTTCGTGATGAGCGATTGGCAAGCCCAACATTCTGGTGCTGCATCAGCTGCAGCTGGACTCGATATGTCAATGCCTGGCGATACTATTTTCAACTCTGCAGAGACCTTCTGGGGTACAAACTTGACTCTCGCCGTTATCAACGGAACGGTTCCCGAATGGCGTATTGACGACATGGCTCTGCGAATCATGGCGGCCTACTTCAAGGTTGGACTGACACTCAATGAGCCTCCAATCAACTTCGATTCCTGGACTCTCGATACGTTCGGCCCATTGCATGCGTCGGTTGGAGCCAACATACAGCAGGTAAACTGGCATGTCGATGTTCGTGACGACCACGGCGCTTTGATCCGAGATATTGGTGCCCGAGCCACCGTTCTCCTCAAAAACGTGAACAATGCACTCCCTCTCTCCAAGCCAAAATTTATTGCAGTCATTGGAAGCGATGCGGGCCCCAACATCAACGGTCCAAACTCTTGCACTGACCGCGCATGTAACGACGGGACTCTGGGGATGGCCTGGGGGTCTGGAACTGCCAACTTCCCCTACTTGGTAACACCTGATACTGCTCTCCAAAACCAAGCACTTGCCGATGGCACGAGATACGAGAGCATCTTGGACAACTATGCTACCTCTAAAATTGAAGCATTGGTCGCTCAAGCCGATGCTACCGCAATTGTATTTGTAAATGCTAATTCTGGGGAGGGTTACATCAGCTTTGACGGAAACGAGGGCGACAGACGGAACCTGACTCTGTGGCATTCTGGAGACGATCTGATCAAGAATGTTTCCGCAATCTGTAACAACACCATTGTTGTCATCCATTCCACCGGTCCTACTCTTGTCACTGAGTGGTACGACAACCCGAACGTGACAGCTATCTTGTGGGCGGGCGTTCCGGGTCAAGAGAGCGGCAACAGTATCACGGATGTTCTCTACGGAAAAGTCAACCCAGCGGCACGAACACCGTTCACATGGGGTGCTACTAGGGAGAGTTATGGAACTGACGTTCTGTACACACCCAACAATGGGCAGGCAGCGCCACAAGATGACTTCGTTGAGGGCGTCTTTATCGACTACAGAGCTTTTGATCGCTCGAATAGCACACCCATCTACGAGTTTGGATTTGGCCTGTCGTACACCACTTTCGAGTACTCCGAACTTACCGTCACCAAGCACGATGCCAGTGCCTACACCCCAACGACCGGAATGACAGAAGCAGCACCAGTCCTGGGCAATTTCTCAACCGACTTGAGTGACTACCTGTTCCCCAACGCCAGCTTCCCTCATATCTGGCAATACATCTACCCATACCTCAACACCACCGACGCAAGAGCTGCATCAGCAGACCCCTTCTACGGCCAAACAGCGGAGGAGTTCCTGCCTCCCGGAGCTATCGATGGATCTCCCCAGCCACTCCTCGCAGCAGGTGGCGCCCCCGGCGGCAACCCACAGCTCTACGACGTCCTGTATACCGTCACGGCCCAGATCCAGAACACCGGCTCATGCTACGGCGAAGAGGTCCCTCAACTCTACATCTCCCACGGCGGCCCCAACCAACCCAAGGTCGTCCTGCGAGGTTTCGATCGCTTGAGCATCGATGCTGGGGCGTCGGCCACTTTCCAGGCTGAAATTACTCGAAGGGACATCAGTAACTGGGACCCTGTGTCCCAGAACTGGGTTATCACAGACGCCCCGAAGACGGTTTATGTGGGTTCTAGCTCGAGGCGGCTGCTTTTGAGCCAGGCTTTGTAGGCTTTGCAGCTTACGAGATTGAGAAGTGGGGGGGGGAAGAGATAATGGGAAGTGATCTCGAAGGCCCGAGAGAGGGGGCTGGACTGCACTCGTCAGGAGGATAAGCTGCCCATTTTCATGAATTACGAGGGTGGGTGTCTCGATTACGGAATCCGGAAAAGGGAATTGGTTCCTGCGGGACTCGCGCTGGACATGGACATAAAAAGTAAAGCATGAAAAGTAATCATACTATTTATCACATGTACATCTTGTTTCGGGCGAAAGTTTGCCAACGAATAAGGAATAAGGCAGCAGCAGCAGCAGCAGCAGCCATCTAATGTCCCGCCAGGCGTGTTCCGTCTGTCTCCCCGGCGAGGGCTCAGGGTAGGCCGGATGGCGCACGATCACTGCTCGTCGCAATCGATTGATACGCCCAGCCGATGCCGACGTTCTCGAGGAAAGCAAATCTGCGCCTCCAGAGATGTAATCCCATCACGGGGTAATCCTCTCTCGCCTCTTTTTCGCTGTTGCTTACCTCTTCTTACCTCTCACCTCTCCTTATCTATATTCACCGTCGTCGTTGTCGTAAGTCGCGTTTGTGGTTTCCTGCGCTGTGTTTCTGATATTCAGACTTTGGAAATGGGAGTTGGATCATTGGAGGAGGGGGGGGGGGGGGAGGGTGGGGGGAAGGGGTTTGTTGATTTGCTTTTTATGCAAGCGAGCGGTATACTACAGTAGGTAGGTTATTTGGACGATTGATTATATGTATGTATATATATATGTGAAGAAGAAGAAGAAGAAGAAGAAGAAGAAGACTCCTTGAATAAAAAAAGCTCTATACTATCTAACCTATCTATCAATGCTTATCCAGAATGCACTGTATTGTGGAGCACACGTTCTTTGGACCGACTGGGTGGGATTCCAACACATACATCATGTATCATCACCCAACAACAATAATAACCACAGCTCGGCTCGATCACCACATCACACCATATCACTTCACATCCGAAAGGAAAGGAAATGAGATGACGATAACAATAATGATATGATAAAACGATTGATCGATCGATCGATCGATTGATTGATTGAGTGATTGTGATCGCTATTCTTTCAAGGCTGCTGCTATATTACTATTTTACCCTTTTCTTTTCCTATTATATCGAGACGAGAAGCCTGACTAGGTAGCGAGCAGCAAGCAGTATATAATGGAGAAGCTAGGACGGGAGTATATATATATATATATGTGTGTGTGTGTGTGTGTATATTTATGTGTGGCACCAACCCAAACAAGCTTGGCTTCAGAACTGTATATGAAATATGCAATAAAGAACATGAGCATGACGAGGACGACGACGACGAGGAGGAGGAGGAGGAGCACTACCACCACCACCGCAGCAACCAAAAATAAAAAAAGAAGAAGCCCTCCATTCCACAGAACCGCGAGATTTGAATGCATAGTAACCTACCTAGTACCGTACCTACCTTGGATAACAGATAAGCCCCCGGCCAAATCCAGGAAACCTGTCCAATATAACCGACCGACCTACCCGCCTACCTCCCTCTCTCTCTCCAACGAAACCAAAGCCCAACCGTACCAAACAAGACGAGAAAGAGGTAGGTGTCATCACAGCCTATATTTCCCCAAAGGCACACACAAAAGGTTGATCTTTTCATTTTCTTCCCCCGAAAACTCCCCAAGTTGCATCTGCTGAATCCTCTCACGAGATGTCCTAACAATGCCTGCTGGGATGCAATGGAAGATTTGGATTTGCATGAAGAGGCTGGTGTATAAGGTAGGACAAGAGCCATTCGCAGTTTTCCTCATGATGGTTTGAGAGCATATATGCTGCACGCATCTGATGTCCCTCTCCCAAGGAATGCTAACATGGCCTGTTGTTCGGAGGCAAAGCTCGAGGTTACTGATTCCCTCGAGTTCTGGCTCGTGCTGCATCTATTTAGTTAACTAGATATGCAACTGGAGGCCAAATCGGCATTTTGGTTCAGGCCTGATATGGTGGTTTATAAAGCACTCACCTGTTAAGCATGCCAGGCGTATCGCCCACCAGCTCCAACCCAACACCAGATCCCACCAGCTGCCCTACAGCCTCCCCCGTTTCCTAAAGCACACACTACTGATCGTCTGCCCCTTCTTCCCCCCAAAGCTGAAACTCCGATACTCTATCCTGTCCAGCACCTCCAACTGCCCTCCCCCTCCCCCTCCCCCAGCTCCCGGGCCCACAAACCACCGCTCCAGCTCCTCCTCCGTCCAATTGCAGCTCGTAACCAGCAACACGCCCCCCTCCCGAATAAGCGGTACGACCCTCCCGCAGTACCCCTCGCACACCCTCCTCCCGCACTCATCCCTCCCCTCAGAGAGGGAAATCGCATCGAACGTCCCCTTGTCGAGCACCACGTCCCAGCCCCGCGCCTGCTCGCCCGAGAGGACGCCCGGCGAAGGATCCTCGCTCATGATATCCCACTTGAGGAACTCGACTTCCTTCCGCGGTTCCGATCCCTCCCCATAGCCCTTGTCCCGCGCAATCCGCTTCGCGAACTCGACGCTGCGCGCGGAGTAATCCACGCCGAGCATCCTGCCTCCCCACCCCTCGAGTGCCTCTCCCTCGCCATCTCCACCGCCTTCAAGTTCCCTTCCTCCTCCACCACTCCTCTCAGGCTCGCTCTCACCCTCACTGTCGATACTTCCCCCATCCCCATCGCTATCCCCAACCCCATCCCCCCTCAACGCAAAAAGCAAATGCCCGTTCCCGGTTCCCAAGTCCAAGAAGCTACAATTACTTTCCGTGACCTCCTCGCCCAGTAGTAGCTTCTCCTTCACTACCTTCCGCCGCAGGAACGACAGCATCTTTGCCTCGGCGCCCGAATCGTCGAACCAGACCGTGCCCTCGTCGCTGGGGTCCTGGGCATGATTCGCCATCTCGGTCGTGTAGAGGTTGTCCCAGCTGTTTGAATAGGAAGGGTTGGAGGTCAGCGTAGGTGTCTTGGGAGAGACACCTGTTGAAGGACCTTTGGTTCAAGCAGCTGCGTGGTGGGGGGGCTTACTATTCTTTGGTGCCAAGTTGGGATGGCTCCAGATGGCTTGGGTTTGAGATGGTTGAGGACGTCATGCTGAGTGTTAAAGAGGGTGGAAACTCTCGAGAGAGGGTGATTATGAGTTTTCTCGATATCTCAGAATTGCTTCCTTTCTATGGCAACGTTCTCGAGAGCTTGTGAATTTATTTAGACTTTGATAGCGGCAGAAATTTACCCCCCCATTGCTAAACAGGCAGGCGGTGAACTCACTAACGCAAGGCCCGCGAATCCAGATCCAGGGGTATGAAACTTATTGTATTCGATCCACGCATGCTACTTACTCGACGAAGGAAAAAGGAATATGCTGGTATTCTGCCCCAATTCTAGAACACTACGGCCCCCATCCCAGGCACAAGTGACAGCCTCGAAAAAATGCATTTTCCTCAACGCTTCTTTATTCTCTCTTCTAAGGGGACGTAATCATAGGCTCGCCGCCTGAGATCGAAGCAGCAGACGTCGTAGCAAAGAAACGAACATCAACATCCATATCCTTCTGCAGCGTCTCCAGATTGGGCAATATCCTCTCTTGAATGAGAACCTCGCCTTTGGCCGAAGGAGAATACGAAGCGCCCGACTGCTCCAGAGTGTAGATTGTACCCTCGTCAGGTAAGCGCTTCAGGACCGAAATCAGCTCGCCATACGACTTTGCGACGTTGAACTTGATGTTCGGGATATCATCCTTAACGAGCGTGTCCATCATTGGGAGGATAGATTCCGCGACTACGTCCAAGCTGACGACTGAAGCAAGGGTCTAGGGCGTATTAGCAATGATCGATAAGGAGAACGCATCTGACTTACTGAGATAGCGAAGCAGGTTGTCATGCGGTAGAGATAGTTGGGATGAGCACCCATCGCAATGACCTTGGGAATGATGGCCTCGGTCGCCCATTCAACACCGAACACCTCTGTCAGCTTCTTCAGATTCTTTGTCGCAGCTTCACGGATAGAGAAGACTGTGTCACCCAACCAGCCCATGCAGAGCGCTGCCAATTTCTCATCGAAGAACTTGACACCCAGCTGACTTGCGAGGAGAGGAATGTATTCGATGATAGCCAACCGAACTCTCCATTGCTTGTCTTCGGCAAGTTGGACGATTGCGGGTAGAAGTGATTGAGAAAGGAGGTCGATTCCAATGACTGCTCACGTCAGTATAGCCTCAGCAAAATGTCACGGAAATTCCACACACCTTGATTGACCAACTCGAGTTTGGAGATAATGTGCAGGCGAACATCCGGGAACTCATCCTTCAACATTTGAAGGAACATAGGCAGAAGGTGATCGATGGTTCTATCACGATGTTAGTCTTTCAAATCCCGCAAAAGTAAACCAACACAAGCGACTCACTCTTGCTTCCCGAGGATTGGGGCGAGACCGCTGATCTGGGTTCCGAGAGCAGCCCGAACATGTTGAGAAGTGTCAGAGACCAAGTCCTCCACTGTAGTCATGACATCGTTCAGCAGAACATTTCGTTCGATCAGCTGGCAGAAACCTAAAAGTAATCAGAGCATGATCATCGAAAATCACGCAGCAGAATATACCTGGGATTTGTCCAGCAATTGCTGTCCGAACCTCGGCCTCGCCGTCTTTGAGAAGCTTTACAAACGCTGGTACCAGATCTCTCGTGACAACCTCATCATCTACCGCCTTGGCAATCTTTGGCGAAGTCAGCGAAGGCCACCTATTCGGGGGGGAGTTTCATACCTTCTCAAACCTGTCTGCAACCATATATCTGACCCTCCAGCTCTTATCTTCGATCAAACTCCTCAATGCTGTAAGAAGAACACCGTGACTTGATTGTTGCTCTTTCGGAACCACCTCCGCAATCGCAATCAGGATCTCCACTGTCAATAACCGGACACTATCTTGGTCGTCGCTGGCGAGGTGTTGGAAAAGAGGTATCATTTCCTCGACGACGATCGTAGCTGGCATCTCCTTTACGAACTTTGCTAGATTGTTCGCAGATTGTCTTCGGACCATGGGAGTCTCGTCGTGAACGAGGAGTCCGAATTGCTGGCGAAGCTGTTCCTGCATCGGGGGCGAAGCCTTCTTGTAAGGGACATTGTATAGGCCTGTCGCGGAGATTTTCGAGGTGAACCAGTCGGCTTTGGACAGACGGATTGTGAGGGGAATGAAGTATTCTTCGACCTGCTGGGGGGAAAGCTCCTCACAGATCTTATTCAGAGACTCGACGGCCTACAGAATATTAGAGATGCGGTATCTTCACAGAGCGTCTTCCCCAGCCTACCTTTTCGCGCACCAAGGGCTCCTCGATCGCTGCCAGGTTTTCAAGAGGCGACAAAAGGACATGTCCCCATTCTGGACCTCCAACGTATTCGACAAATCCACCAAGCTCTCCGCTCAGCGCAGTAAGAACCTCATCCTCATCTTCTACAGACTCTGGACCAAAGTCAGCACGTACCGAAGGCCTGGCATTGGTGTATGCGCCTACCATCCAAGAAAGGAATCAGCTCGTCTCTGGTGCGTTCAGCTCCCAGCGCAAGAGCAATGGTGGAGAGGCGGTGTATAGCGTTTAATCGTAATAGAACATCATCATGCTATATGACTGTGAGCAGATGCGCGCAACCAGCTTGCTGCTGGCACATGGACCCGTCCGTACCTTCAACTCGTCGATGAGAACCGCTATTGGGTAGAGCTCATCCGTCTTATCAGGGCCGTCTGACATTGTGAAAGAAAGGGTCCACGAGGGATTCGGAGATGGGGGATGGGATAGAGCGAGGCTGGATGTAGGAGGCCCTGTCGGGATTGGGAGCCTTGACCTGTTGACTCGTGGGTGCGAGGGTTGCGTACAGGCAGGCTGATCGCGTGTTGGGGGGGTGCGGGCGGCCTACGGGTAGGTAGGACTAGCCTCGAAGGGAGTTTCGTTATTCCGTTTGAACGATGTCCAGGGAAGGGAAGAGCGAACCAAGGGAAAGAGTGCGAGGTGAGACCGAGACCGAGCGAGACCGAGACCGAGAACGAGATGGAGCTGCGTGTCTTCGAACATCAGTATCAGGAACAGGATCAGGATCAGTAGCAAACAGTAAGGGAAATGGGAGTGAAAGGGATGAGCAGGCCGACGCGCACAGGGGAGGGAAGCTTGTCCATGACGGGACGGGTAGTGGGGGGGGAGGGGGGGAGGGGGGAGAACCATGACAGAGAGGTAAGGTCGAGGTGCCTTGGCTACACGGAGGCAGCGAGTTCAATTGAACATACCTGCGCGGCAAACCCAGATCCAAGGGGCGAATTTGAAGTAGATGGCGAGGCTATCGTGAGTATGTAGGTGGAGTTGGGTTGCGTTGTGGGTGCTGTGGTCTTGGGATGGCTTGGAGAGCAACAAATCAAGCAAGCAACCAAGCATGCACTGGTTGGTCGTGAATGACTGGAGCTATAATTGAGGCCTCAGGCCACTACTCAAACTCTAAGGCAGGCAGGCAGGCAGGCAGGCAGGCAGTACGCAGAAATTCGCAGCCTTGTGTGGACCCCTCCCCGCGGGCTACCTAGGTACGTGACGGGATGTATGATTATGATGTATGGAATATCGAGCCTGAGAATTATGTAATTTTTTTTTTCCATCTTTATTAAAATACAGCTTGGACTCCAATCCGACTATTATTTTCCTGAGATCATTCATTCGCTGAGAGTCGACCAAAAACCCCGACTTTCTTTTAATTTTTGGATAACCCAACTCAACCCAGCCCTATCCAAACCCGATCGGTCAAGATTCTTCACATCACTTCCCCCTCCGTCCTCTCCACCACCACCGCCGCTACCTGGCATACCTTACCTACATCTCGAAACACCCGGTAAACACATCTGAAGCCGCGTACAATGCCTACCATCAGTGTAGACAAGGCGGAGCTCTACAAAGCCTTGGGCCAGGAGTAAGCTCGCAAGCCATCCGTTCCCCAGAACCTCACCTAACACTCTACAGGTACACGACCGAGGAATTCGAGGAGCTATGCTTCGAGTTTGGTATCGAGCTGGATGAGGACACAACGAACTCAGAACGGCCCATCGTCAACGGCAAGCAGGCGCCCGCAGAACTGAAAATCGAGATCCCCGCCAACCGTTATGACATGCTGTGTTTCGAGGGCATAGCTCTCATGCTCAACATCTTCCGCGAGAAGACGCCGCTGCCGAGTTACAGATTGGTTGCGCCGAAGGATGGCAAGATTCAGACAATAACGGTCCATCCAGACACCCTCAAAGTTCGGCCATATGTTTCTGGGGCTATTCTACGAAATGTCAAGTTCACCCAGGACGCCTATGACTCCTTCATCTCGTTGCAGGACAAGTTACACCAAAATTTGGCAAGAAACCGGACCTTGGTGGCTATCGGTACACACGATTTGGATACCATCAAAGGACCCTTCACCTACGAAGCACTACCACCCAAGGATATCAAGTTCATACCTCTGAACCAGACCAAGGAGATGAACGCGGCGGAAATGATGGATTTCTATGACAAGGACAAGCACCTTGGAAAGTACCTACACATTATCAAGGATAAGCCGGTATACCCAGTCATCTACGACTCAGAAAGGGTCGTCTGCTCTATGCCCCCTATCATCAACGGCGACCATTCGAAGATCACCCTGAACACGACCAACGTCTTCATTGAGATGACTGGAACGGACCGTACCAAGCTGGAAATCGTGAACAACATCATAGTTTCCATGTTCTCCCAATACTGCTCCGAGCCCTTCACCATCGAGCCCGTCAAGATCATCTCCGAGCACAATGGCGAGACACGACAAACACCTGACCTGAGCCCCCGCACTGCCGAAGCAGAGGTAGACTACATCAACAACTGCTGCGGCTTGCAAGAAACCCCCGAGCGGATATGCCAACTTCTGACCAAGATGTGCTACACCGCTAAGCCCTCCCCAGAAGACCCAAACATCATTAAAGTCTCCGTGCCGCCCACCCGCGCCGACGTCCTCCACCAGTGCGACATCATGGAAGATGTAGCCATCGCCTACGGCTTCAACAATCTCCCTCGTACTTCCCCTAACAAAGCCTCCACGATCGCCCAACCCCTATTGATTAACAAGCTCGGCGACATCGTCCGCCAGGAAACCGCCATGGCCGGCTGGAGCGAAGTCATGCCCCTGATCCTCTGCTCGCACGACGAGAACTTCGCCTGGCTGAACCGCAAAGACGACGGTACCACCGCCGTCCGCCTCGCTAACCCCAAGACAGCCGAGTACCAGATCGTGCGCACCTCATTACTCCCGGGTCTCCTGAAGACCATCCGTGAGAACAAGAAACACAGCGTGCCCATCAAAGTCTTCGAAGTCTCCGACGTGGCTTTCAAAGACGAGTCTCTGGAGCGCAAGTCCCGAAATGAGCGACACTTCGCCGCGGCGTGGTACGGTAAGACAAGCGGCTTCGAGATCGTGCACGGTTTGCTGGATCGGGTGCTCCTGATGCTGAAGACTGCTTTCATCACACACGAAGAGGGTCTGGAGGGTAAGAAAGTGGATGGGTACTGGATCCAGGAAATTGACGAGGCGACGTTCTTTGCCGGGCACGCGGCTGCCATATACCTCCGTGTGGACGGCAAGGTGCAGCGTATCGGCGAGTTCGGAATTCTGCACCCGACCGTTCTTGATAAGTTCGAGCTGAGGTACGTCGATATCTTTTCCTTCTTCCTCGGGTTTGAAGCGATTGGGCTAACTACGACCAAAACAGGTATCCCGTGAGCACACTAGAGATCAACCTGGAAGTCTTCTCATAATCGCCATTTCTCACACGCAACGCATAGATCTCTTGAGCATCACCGTCTTTGCGCTCGTTCACCAAAGGAAAAAAAAAGTAGCATGTAAATTCGCATCCTTTGCAGCATGGGCCAAAAAAGACGCGATTTGATGGCATAAGACTGACAGTCTCATCTCGATCTGTGCTACCGTGACGCCCCGCTCCAGCAATGCATGTGCGATGATGATGTGTGTGACCCCATATAATAACAAAAAAAGATCCTTTGCTCCCACACCCACACCCACACCCAACGCCTTCCTCCCTCCCAACCAACAACAACGCTCGCCTACAAATAGGATCCAACTCCGACACTGATGTGAAAGTCCTCATTGCATCTCAACCTCCATCGGCTGCTTCGAATTTGCAGGGCTTTTCGCCCCAGCCCCTCCTCCCTTCCCCATACCAATCCCCAATCCCGCAATACCCTCTCTCAGACTCGCGAAACTTCCCGGCGCAGGAGTCCCATTCACAGCTGGCTTGAGGCTTTCGGCAGTAACAGTCGCCGCATGCGCAGTCTCCACCCCCGTCAGAACACCGCGTCCCACGCCGACGGTATCTTGGCCACCCAAATACCTATCCGTAGCAGCGTTCGACGGCCCGTTCATGTCAAGATCCGTGCGGTTGAAAACAGAGTGCCACCATCTAATCTTCTCCAGCTTCGGGAATAGCAGACGTTCCTTACCCTTTACATGATCATCAACCTCACCGCCGTCGTAGGCTTTGTTTGTGAACTCCTCGCGTTTAGAGAGGAAGTATGACCACACGCTTGCAGTTCGGTCTTGAACGCGGGCGTCGACGCGTGACTTCTCGTTGTTGTAGAGGAAGGTGCCGTATTGGCACGAGTAGAGATGATATAGAAGTCTCTTCAGAAAACGCTCGTTGAATTCAAAGCGAGTCGGGTGTTGGTAGAGAAGTTGGTAGGTGGCGTCTAAGAATTGATGGAAGACTGGACTGGTCTCCTTGGGTTTAGTGGCCTCCTTGTCGGCTAGACTATCTTTACCAGAGCCCTTCTTGGACTTCGGCAGGTCGTCAACGGAGATAAGTTCTCCATCCGAGTCGGTGGTTGCGTCTTGGTTGCTCTTGTTGAAGAATCGCTTTGCGCTGAGTAACGCGTTCTCAATGGAGTCGTTGCCACGACCTTCGCCACCGTTGGGCTGGATCGCTGAGCCTGCGAGAGCATCGTTCTGTGTTTGGAACCACTTTTCGCTGTTCAGGAAGCCTGATCGATGTTGGAACATGTGGCCGAAAGCCAGCCAGTCTTTCTCCACAAGCACAATAAAACCATCAATTGTCCGGTAATAAGGATCCAGCATAATTTGAGAAAGTGCACTCAACTGACTCGTTCGATCCCACCCGTCAGAACAGTGTATCAGAACATGGGAATGTTGAATTCCGACTTGTCTGGCAATCAAGGCAGAACCATCAAGCAAACCAGTGATATGTTTGAGCCATCCACTTTTAGCGAGTAGATCTCGATTTGGTGGTAGTTTTGAGATATCCGAATCCTTGATAGCCTCTATCACCTTGTCCAAGGAATTCCTCATCACATGAATATTGTCAATACCCAGATACACCTTTGCAGCGAACTTGTAATGGTCCATATTTTCTGAGCCGAGACCTACGGCTTGCATTGCTAATGCATTTACCGTCGGCCGAGCATCAACAATCAGATTATGCTGCTGTGCTCCGTAGATCAAAGGCTTGTCACCACTGATCTGAATGTTCGAAGAAGATATGATTTCGTCCTCTAGCCTTTCTGTCTCTGATATCTCACCATCCGTACTGGACGAGCCAAAGTCTGCCTGGCTGGAAGCCGGGCTGGCTCTGGAGACGCTCGCAGGGGGGGTTTCAACTTCGTCAGGCTGGGCACAAGCAGAGAAGCAAGCGCTGACGAGCTTCTCGTCTTGTATACTGCGGTTTCCCCTGAGTCCAGCAAGCGGTTGAGAGCTTCTTGAAATAGAGCAGTTGTTTACCGGGTGTAGATATGTCAGAACAGGTATCCGTACTCGCGATCGATATCTGCCAGCGTAATTCAAGGTATTATCGGATATCGTTGAGGGAACTGGGAGCAAGGCAGGGTATGTTGGCGAGAAAACATAATCAGTATTGATTTTCGATATCCTCCACCCTCGATCAACGCCCTTGTCACTGATGCCCTGGCGCTTCCACTCTGCCTTTGCATCGTACAGCTCCCACCCGTTGATTTTCTTCTCTGGGGGCACAGGGTCGTAGCTGAAGGCGTGCAGTTTCTCGATGCTCCCAAGCTTGCATGTTGCATTCTTTATACTCTCAAACACATCCCTGGCCTGTTTATCGTCGGCGAAGTTTAAGGTGATGAAGGAGAAGTCTCGGCCTCTAATCCGTATCGAAGAAGCAAGCCCAGACCCAGGCGCAGTCGGCCTGAAGGCACAGAAGGCTATCATAGGGTATGCAATCCATGATTCTTTTGGCGCCCTTTTCTCTGTTGGCGGCGCTGTTAGATCTTTAGGTAGGCGTGGCGGGATGGTTATGACCAGAACGAGATGATGCGCCATGAGATGTAGAGTCGCAGAAGTGATCTCTCCTGCCGCAAGGACCTGGACATGTTCGACCTTCGTAAATGTATACATTAGTACCGTAAACTATCCGCGCTCGTAGCCAGGCTTTGTCGCTGACCTTTTTTATCCTGAGCTTGTCCGCCATCTTGTCTTCTGCTGACCTCGCGTTCGGCTTTCAGGAATGACATATGAATAGCTTCTTCTCATGGCACAAAGAATCTCTCTACAGGAGAATTGCGTTAGTATCGGCAAGTGCTTCTGACTTTGGTGAGGGATTCTTGGTGCCGGAGTGCTGGCTACATTTGTTTGCAGACGGCTTCGTTAAGAGCTGTCTGCTATAGTCTCTTTAGCTTCGGAAGCCGAGAGGGGCATTTGAGTCACGGGATATCTTCATAGTCGGTTAAGTGCCCGTACATTCACTCTGTCACGGCTACTCTATACACGCAATATTCTGTTTGTCTATTGTATGGGCTTCTGCATCCTGAAATACCGCGCAAAGAGTTGCAATCTTGGCTTCGGAAAGTGGTTTTTTGATTACAATACATCTTGGCGAAGAGCATATATTACTACCAGGAGGCGCAATCCTCACGAGAGCACGCCGAGTCATCACCCATTTAGCTTTGTTTTCCGTATTCTCCAAAGCATTTAGATACGCAATGTGCTTCTGACTTTAAGAGTTGTTTAACAACCGGATTCATGGAATCGATGCCAGGACTTCATACTTGTTTATTTCTCATTGTTGATTTCATCTTTTGCCGTCACCAATACAAACAACCACCAGGGATCCTGTTGTATTTATTAGCTTTCTATCACTTTCAGTCTCACTGTCTTCGACTCTTTGATTTCTTGCCAAACATTCTGAAGACATGCCCAGGCCTGAATCTCTTTAGAAAAACAGGACAATCAACTTTGTACAGTGTCTCCTGTACAATAAGCTCTTTCAGCCAAGTCCCAAGTATATTTTTTGATACAACGGAGATGATTTTGCGCTCTTCTTAGATGGAAATCTTAGGTGTATCTATAGAGAGTCACTGGCTGGCTCCAATGCCGTGGGCTCATCCAGAGTCTAGCTATTGTTATCTCAACCTTAGTCCTCGCCGAGGGAGAATCTAGAGTAGGACGTACATAAGGATAGCTACCCTATCCTGGTTTGCTCTCAGGCTATGAAACAGATGCTTGTAGTCGTTTTCTATGCTCTCAAGCATTTTACTTGGACATGTTATATCTGATCTCGGTATTGCCAATCGATACATGAAGAAGAATGGACGCTGTCCATTCTTCTTCATACCCGGTCTTTGATGCATTGAGCTCCTCGTATGTAAGCTCCCTCCCAGCTGCCAGGGGGTATTCATGACGACAACACCTCCCGAAGACCACCCCGAAAAACCGCAATCATGTTCACCGGCAAGTGCCGCAAGCCATGTGTGCCATTAACCTGTTCACGCTTCTACGAGGAAGGAGATTTATCGCAGATGGTCTCTATACATGGCTGACCCTTTTCCAGCGTCGCTGATGGAGTCTTCTCCGCTGACTTGAACTAGTTCTTACAAAGAGCTGGCTCAGGAGGAAAAGAATTCTTCATAGAGGCGATCACCACCGCTGGCAACTTGCAAGAGTGAGCTCTTTAGAAAGCCCTAAGACCCCGAAACCAGGGAACTCTTCGCGGAAATGTTCGCTGCCCATACCAATGTCTCCAACAGACCCCTGGATACCCACAGTGAGTCGAATCTCTCAAATGGGCCAAAGGAGGGACATTTTGAGAAGTCAGGCATTTGGGACGATGTTGAGTTTTCGCGTGGTAGAGTGTTGGGATGCACGAGCAGGTTGAGGGTTTGATGAAGGCTATTGGATAGCTGCCGGAAGGGATCAACATCGACTTCATGTTCATGTAAAATTGGAGGGATTTTCGGGACTTGGGTGGCCTGTCAAAGAAGTAAAGGTCTTTCGCATCTAGTAATACAGCTCACCATCTGAGGGTCATTGCCGGCGTCAATGCAGCTCGATCAATGATGTTCAAATTAAACCTTGTAGTCCGAGCTCGAAGCCGATGATGAACCGGACAGTGTCCAAGATATGGATTCGTCGGAGGGCTCAAACGATGAGAGCGCTGGTGGTTCGGATAATGAGATGCTGAGAATTGAGGAGATCTAGAGAGGACCTGGGAGTATATATCGAAAACTGGGGATCAGCGGGTTCATATCTTCACGAAAGGGCCTTATACTTGCCATTACGAACAATATTCATGATTCACAGAGGCTTGATTTTTGATCTTGAAATCATGAAATGCGATTCAGTAAAATGCATCCCAGTGAAATTCCTAAAAAAGTATTTACACGTGATACGAAACCTAGCGCCAAGGAAAGGCGGGTCTTAGCGAAGCCACCACACATTTTGAAATCATTCACGACAATTGCGACAACGACAAGTATTTCCCATCACGACGTTGAGGATTCCTCCGATCTGCTACCCAAGACAAACGTCTCGATAAATACCGCAATCATGTCTTCGGGAGTTCCTGGAGCTGCTATCAGCAAGCGCCGCAAGTTGTATGTATATTCCTGAGATTTTCGCGATACTCTCAGCTTCACGACCTCAGCTTTCTTGCGGAATTCTTCGTACAAGGCTGACTTTTTATAGCGTTGCTGATGGTGTTTTCTTCGCGGAGTTAAATGAGTTCTTCCAACGTGAGCTGGCGGAGGAGGGATATTGTAAGATTCACTTTTCACTCTTGCACATCGTCTTGCGATCACCTCCCTAACTCCCCCGCAACAAGAAACAAACTGACAATTTAAATAGCTGGTGTTGAGGTCCGCGTTACGTGAGTGATCCCAGCCTTCGAATCTTCGAATTCTCTCAAATGCCCCAATGTCGAATCGAAGTTTGGACGAGTCGCATTTTCCCCTCCCCCTCCTACATCCCTCACAACCACAAACACCACGAACATACTGACTCTCTTCTTAGCCCGACCGTCACAGACATTAAGTTCTCCTATAAACCTGCAACCTGCAGATCTCTCGAACCATTCTAATACCTCGCAGTCATCATCCGCGCAACCCACACACAAGAAGTCCTTGGAGAGCAAGGTAGACGAATCCGCGAGCTCACCTCCCTCATCCAAAAGCGCTTCAAGTTTCCCGAGAACTCCGTCTCCCTCTACGCGGCCAAGGTCCAAAACCGTGGTCTCTCCGCCGTCGCCCAATGCGAGTCCCTTCGCTACAAGCTCCTGAACGGTTTGGCAGTTCGCAGAGCCTGCTATGGAGTTCTCCGCTTCATCATGGAGTCCGGTGCTAAGGGTTGCGAGGTCGTTGTCTCTGGAAAGCTGCGCGCCGCGCGGGCCAAGTCCATGAAGTTCACTGACGGCTTCATGATCCACTCTGGTCAGCCAGCCAAGGACTTCATCGATCATGCCACCCGCCACGTCCTCCTCAGACAAGGTGTCCTCGGTATTAAGGTAAAGATTATGCGCGGCTCCGACCCTGAAGGAAAGTCTGGTCCCCAGAAGACGCTGCCAGATTCCGTCACAGTCATCGAGCCAAAGGAGGAGCAGAGCGTGGTTCAACCTATGAGTCAGGACTACGGTGCGAAGGCTGCTGCAGCCCAGGCTGCTGCTGAGGCCGCGCGTGCGTCCGAGCAGGGTGAGGAGATTGAGCCAGCAGATGAATAGATAGAGCTGCTGAGTACTTCTTTGACTTGTCGGCGCGCTGGGGGATTTGCACATCGTGTGATACATTCGGGCTTGTAATGCATCGCAAATGAAATAACAAAAATGAAAGGTCAAACAGGCTCTCAACATTCTCAATATCAAAGCTTCTCTCTAAAATCTTTTGTTCGAAATGTGAATAACCTTGTAACACTAGTCATTGAAACCCGTTCCCCGCCTCATCGGCTCCGAGCGCCACATATATCATACAAAGATGTTTTTTGCTTACAGGGTACAGGAGATACCAGACCCGAACGCCGAAACCTCATGCCGTCGTATGAAGAGATCCTCGCGCAGACCGCGTGCTGCGAAAGTGTTATACCTCTCGAGCTGAACCCCGCCCTTGACCAATATACAATGTTGAAAATGCAAAAATCTCAATCGTCTCCGTGTCACCTGGAGGATGATTTCCTGGGCGTCTCTATGGGCTCGCTGAAGCTCCTCTTGGCACTCCCATTAGCACTACCATTCATCTTGCCATTCACGGGCGGAGGAAAGAGGCCCTCGTCGTCACTCTCTGTGAGGTCGTCGAGACCTAGGCCTCCTTCCTCGTCATATGCGTGGATCAGACCCTCCCTGTCCCCTGATCTCCTACCATAGGCACTTCCACTGCTTAATCTGTGCGGGTCCTGGCTCCTTCTCAATTGCATGCTCCTTCTCGTTTGAATTCCAGATATGATGTCGGTGGCGATTCCATCATGTGTTGTCCCTGATATCATTTGTTGCCCATTCGGATCACCACGAGAGATGTTCAGAAGGTAGACCCCGGTAAAGATGACCAGAAAACCGCAGAGCAAAGATATCGTATTGACTGTGTCCGCGGTGTTGAAGCCTCCGTAGAGGATGAAGGAGGCGGTCAGAGTTGCGGTTGTGAAGGTAACGTAATAGAGAGGGTTGACGCTGCGAGCTGGTCAGGTTTAATTTCAGCAATTTAGACTCTGGAGCTTACATTGAGGTGGGAAATTGGCTCAGAGCCTTGTTAAAATAGTTCATCTGCGTCATGATACACACAGTGCAGAGGATAATGAAGACATAGGTGGAAGGATGTGTAAACTGATTGTTGCCGGCCAAGGTCAATTTCACAGCGATTCCAAACGCCTTGACGGACATAACCGAAACTCCGCCAACCGTCGAGCAGATAGATAGGTAAACGAGAGGATTTTTCTTCCCATACTTTGGCGCAACTCGGTATATCATGACGACCGCAAATAGGGCCACGACGAAGCAGAAGATCAAAAACCCTGCGCACACCATTAGAGCTGCAAATCCACATAAAGGCCTCCTTACATACCAGGTTGGATCGCATAGTGTAGAATCTCGTCAATGGTTTGAATTTCCTTGTCTGGTGGTGCGTGAAGAACAATAATGACTGAACCGATCAGACATGTTGCACATCCAAGTTTTCCCAAAGTTCCCAGCTCTTCCCTCAAAAAGTATGACCCTAATACAGCGCCGATCAAAACACTCAATGCGCCCAGAGGTGTTACTAGAATCGCAGGGGCGAAAGCGTATGCTGCAAAATTGGCTATCTCTCCAGCGACCACTTTGAATCATGTTAGAAGTCATAAGTTTGAAAGAGTAGATAGCGGGCATACATGCTAGGATACCAGCCCACCATATGGGACTTTTGAGATATGAAAATCCATCTCCCTCAAACCCATGTCTTTCTTCCGCATCGATAAGACCCTGTGGTACTGTTAGAGCTGGCTTCGCCATCATCGACCAATCTCAAGGCTGGGGTTGTGCCGGTACCTTTTTCGTGATCACAAAACTTGTTCCTGCACAGAGTCAGCGACTACCCCTATAGGGCGCATCCAGGTCCCATTACCTATTGCCAAAGTAGAGGTGACGGCCAGAGCAAGGCCAATATATCTATCGTCTGTATCAGCCATTATTCCTCCCGTTGGGCCCGTTGGGTCGCGCGCAGCGGTTGTGCGACGGTCGTGGCAATGCTTCCGACGTACTTGTCTTCTAACATCTTTGCGCGGATGCCGGACTTTTCCTCCTCTCAAACCCAATCAACGTTTTATGTCTCGTGGAGATCGCGCTTGCTCGCGGTGGACAACTGAAAGTGTCTCGTCTGTAGGGCAGCGCAGATGTGTGCCGAGGGGCTCTCGCGCCCTGTCGATCGTGTTTATGCTACGTCAAAATGCCGAGCGGGCGGAAAAGAGAATGGCTGATCGCAAGTGTGATATAGTTTGGAGCCCCTGCCCAGGGGGGTGTGGGATCTGAGCCTCGGCGGGGTCTTAATTGCGACTTAGGGCAGGGCAATGCTGCCTTGGTGTAGTAGTGGAAATCAGAGTAGAGTGAGGTAAGGTACTCTGTAAGCAAGTAGCGGGCCTGGGTCGGTGTTGACTCTCTGATCGAGGGATTGGCCGGTCTCAAGTCGAAGGTTGTGGTGGGTTGGGTAAGGTTGGGTTGAGTTGGAATTGAGTTGAGGCCAACAAGCGCCTACTGCGGTCATGCGTTTTGTTGTGCGAGGCTGTGTTTTGGAATTGGAAGGAGAGTTGCGGCTCTCTTTGGCCCCGGGTACAGTGAAACACTTCGATTTGGTCACGTTGTTCGAACTTTGATAATGGGCTTGGCATGGCTGGCAGGTCTGCGTTGGGAGTCTATTTTTAGGCCCAACAGAGATTCGAACCAGACAAGCGCACTAATCTTGGATTTTGATCACTTGCACGAAGTTTAAGGAGGCATCATGATAAATCGCTTTGCAATTACTGTGAGTGTTCGCTCCTCTCCTCCTCCAGGCATATTCTTATTCCTACATGATGAGCGTTCCGACCCGACCATCCAACGAAGGTCAACAGCAACTGTCTTGGTCTCTAACGAACGGCCAGCAACGTCACCTAAACCCTCCTCGCAAAACAAATAGTGTCCTTCCTCCCATCGTAAGTAAACCGTAGTTCTTTTTTCCGTACCCGCCTGTCATATGAGAAGGAATAGGGACGCCGCGCCATGAGGTGCTGAAAAGAGGGTGGTTGGAGTGTGGAGCTGCTTGAGTCACGGGTATCATGTATTTTGAAAGAGGGGGGGGAGTGGAAGATGAAACGGTGTTAGTATACCTGTCGGACTTACTATGAAGGTATTCCTAAGGCAAGATTAGTGACAGTCGTACATGTCCTGAAAATCCGGGAATCGAAGGGGCAGATGGGAAAACAGTCCAAGATCAGACATCCAAAGAACTAGTTTCAAAGGATGTTGGAGATCGAGTCTGGATCGGCATTGCAGATCGAGATTGAGGAGGAGAGGTGCCAGGAACAATGAGGGAAAGGCCGATAATCGTACCGCTCATGAGAGTCGATGATCAGGGGCGTGGACGTTTGAAATCTAACAATTGTTAGCCTGTCTTTCTCTTCATCGAGACAGTGTACTTACCCTTAGTTTGAGGGTTTTGGATGTCACTGGATTCGAAGTCTGCCAGGGGTCGCTTTCCATTTGCGTTTGGAGACTCATTTGAGTTTGGTGGTGTGTCCTCAGCAGTCGTGGAACCCTGTGACTTCTTGACCTCTTCCTCATCATCATCCTCGTAGCCAATCTCGTCCGTGTACTCAATAGCCTCCCGCGTTGCCAGGCCTTCCTTAACGATAATAGCTTTCTCGTGTCTGTCTGGTTCATCGAAGTCCTCATCAAGTAACTCATCTTCGTACTGTATCTGTTCGGTTTCGGCACCCATGGTGACACTAGAATCTGTTGTTTCAACAATATCCAGGCCATCTTTGTTTGACTTGTCTTGACAATCTTTAATCTCGCTTGCCTCATGATGCTCAAGCTTATATTCTAGATGATTATGATCATCTTGAATGCTTGACTCTCTATCCTCGAAGTCAAGTTCGACGTCATCAAAGTTGCCAATGGCACTCTCGTCGTTAGCACCTTGCTCAGGAGCGTCATCATGACCCGAGTCGTCGCCACCGGATGCTTCAGGGCCTCTACCTTCCTCTGCAGCAAGCTCATGCTCGTGGCCCTCATCATTGTGTGCAGCACCGTCAACAGCCGTCAACTCATGCTCTGCATTTTCGTCATCATACTCATAACCTTCACCATTGCTCTGATCATATCCAATCTCGTCAGGATACGATTCCTTTTCCCTCTCGTTGACTTGGTCACCGTCAAGGCCATATTCTTCAGATGTTTCCTGCTGCTCGCATTCCTCATTGAACTGATCATACTCAACTCCGTTCTCGGAAAGGCGTGCTCCCTCCTCGGTTTCGTTAGCACCACAGGGGACCGGGCCTGCGGGATCCTCAGAGAGCTTATCTCCAGTCGCTGGTCGGGAGAGCGAACGTTGTCGGAGGTTTTCATCGACCTTTTGATGTTCTAGAAGAATCAGATCCGAGCACCGAGGACAGAAACAGAACTGAGGCATGAGACAAGGTGAAATGGAAGCGGTGTATTTACCGTTCGCTAATGTCTTGTTAGTGACAGATTTCGGAGTTGCAGATTCCTCAGCCTCATCATCCGAATAATCAATCAAGTCGCCATCTTCGTCAACATCGGTACCTGTGGCAATCTTGGGTAATTGAGGCTTGACACTCTCACAGCCAGCGACGACATTGTTACTGGTCGCCGTTGTCACGGCACTCTCTTGGTTGTTGTCGTAGTTCGTTTGAAGGTCTTCGAAATTGTACTCTTCGGGCTCATGGCCGGTCGCATGTTGATCCGAGGTTCTGCTTTCAGCAAACTCAGGCTCTTGTTGTGCTCTGTAGTCTTTGGCAGGTTCGCCAGAAGGATGAACCTCCGGCGTCGACTCAAGCTCATGATTACTCTCGCCTATGTCCTGGGTACCATCGCGAGCTATGGCCTGGTCGTCCAAGGATGCAAAATCGGTTAGACCTTTGCCTTCCATAACACCTGCGGTAAGAGCAGCGAATCTGCCGGAGAAGCTCTTTCTTGTTTTCAATTGCATATAACAGATTTCACCTGATGGCTCGACCCCAGCATTACGCAAGAGCGCCGCGTACAAGCTCATGATATTTTCCAAGTAAAATTCCTCTGCCAGATAAGACGACTGTTCGGGTGATGTTAGTGGTGGAGGTTTCAAAGTCAGAAGATCACAACTGACCTCTTCCGTCTCAAGACCCAGGCTCTCCACGGCGATACACAACTCATCCTCATCTGTGAGATCTTCACAGATAATCTCTCGGATAGCCTTGAAGAGCTCACTTAGAGGCCTCCTCAAGTAAGCAACATCGGCAATGAAATACGAGTCCGGATGATCGAGATCCGAGGTTTGAAACATGTTGTACTCGGTCTCTCGGTAAATAACTCGCAAATCCAGACCCTCGGAACCATCGCCATTCTTTATTGCTTCATCGAAACGAATATGGTCTGCACGGGGTGATTTCGAACAGGGAATGGGCTCCTTGTGATCATTTGCAACTTCAGGAGAACTCAGAAGAGGGTCTTGTCCAGATGCTGGCGGGCTTCTAGGCTCAGCTGGAGCTGTCGGAGTGGGATCTTGCAAGTTAGGGGTAAGTGTAGGGGATCCTTTGGCTGCTGTGAATTCTGGGTGATCGTTAGAGTCTTGGGGCGGGTTTTGATCATGGTACTGGGTATCTTCGTGCTCCAGAACGTCTTGTGGGGCTTCCTCTTCAAAGCTGAGCCCAAGATTATCGTCACTTGGGACGATATCCTCATGGTACGGAATGCCAGTGGCTTGTTCTACCTGCTCGGATCGTTGCTGCTCAGCTTCTTGATTATCCGCACCAAAGTAGGTTGCGTCGCCATCGATCGTATCTGACATCGATCCTTGCTCCATGGTATGCTCTTCTCCCGCATCCAAAAGCTCTGCGTCTTCCATGTGATAGGATTCGTTATCATCGTCACGCATCACATCATCATGAGCTGCTGGAGATGGCTGGGCGAGAAATTCGGTACCCAATTCGATTTGTGATGTAGCGTCTTCAAGAATGTAATCTTCGTCCATATTTCCCGGAGTAAGATCGATATCAATATCAATATCTGCTTGCTCCATATTATGGCCATGCTCAGAGGAGATCTCCATATTGTCGTCTACCATGGCGAGAGAAGGAAGTGCAAGCTCTCCAAAGACTGCCTGCATAGGAATGTAAGTAGAGAGGAAAGCTTCGAAATCGTCGAAATGGTATCAGAAGTGTTGATGAAACAAAGAACCTAGGGTTCGGCCTTGCTTTGGGTAAGCACTTGGTCCTTAAAGGTGAATGAAGGTGCAGAAAGATTGCTACTGTGTATGGAGTAGTTCCCGGTGGCTGCTCAAAGTGGACAAAAAAGTGACAGTACGCCTGCAAGTATGACCTGGGAAGATACCTGCAGAACAAAGCTGTCGACCTAATTTGCGGTTAAGAAAGCGCGTTATGAGCTGGTCACGAAGGCGCGCATCTCGAAATCGGAATACTGCTTGGTGCAGAGGGTTGTTGGGTGACGAAATTTGTTTGTTCTTCTGGCAAGTGGAAACTCGTTCGACCTGCTGGGGGTCAGTCGAATCTGGAGCTATCTCCACGCTAATCCTATTTGGTACTTAGCCCTCACAATCACATGACCTCACTAAAGATGAACTGGACACAGCTCAACTTCGACAGGAGGTCAAGGACCAAAAGGAGTATATCCCGATTAGAAGTCATAACTAATAACCCAACAACAATCCCCACGTACAGGACAGCTTCATTCGCAATCATGGTACGGATCCATATCCACAAATTCCAGCCTGACTCTCTAACTGTACGTACAGGTTGTTCTTGCAGCTTCTATCTGCACGCGTGGTGGAAAGGCGGTCCTGTCTCGACAGTTCCGTGAGATGCAGCGATCCCGAATTGAGGCGCTGTTGGCATCCTTCCCTAAGCTGGCGGACACCGGAACCCAGCATACAACCGTGGAGCAAGACAATGTCCGCTTCGTCTACCAACCCCTAGATGAACTGTACATGGTCCTCATTACCAACCGACAATCCAACATCCTCCAAGACATCGACTCTTTACACCTGTTCGCACAAGTTGTCACGAGCACATGCAAGACTTTAGATGAGAGGGAGATATTGAAGAATGCTTACGAGTTGCTAAGTGCTTTTGATGAGCTGGTCACCCAGGGTTACCGAGAGAACCTTACCATCAGCCAGATCAAGACATTCTTGGAGATGGAAAGTCACGAAGAGCGCATACAAGAGATCATCTCAAGGGTAAGAGATACCTTGAAGATCCATGCTCGGATGCTAAGTTGTTTTTATAGAACAAGGAACTGGAAGCCACCGAGGAGCGAAAGCGCAAAGCCAAGCAACTGGAGATGCAGCGCAAAGAGGTTTCAAGAAGTGGCAGAAATGCAATCCCCCGAGCTCCTGCCTTTCCTACATATACCCCTACAACTCGATCTACGGTTCCCGATACATATGATTCCTATGAGGCGGAGAAGAACAAGTCTTTCAAGTATGCGATCCTGTCCACCCGCGGTGCTTCTCACACTGACTCCCTTCCAGAGCGAGTGCGCCAAAGGGCAAGGGAATGCAATTGGGTAAGAAGTCGAAGACAACCGATATGTTTGAGCGTGTGAGGGGTGATATGGGTGCGGAAGTCGAGGACTCGGCTTCGACTCCACTGGTACCTAACAACCCAACAACTGTTGAGCACGCACCAGCACAGCCCTCCCGAATTTCTTCGTCACTGGATCGTGACGCGATCCATGTCTCAATTGCTGAAACCATATCTGCGAAGCTCTCCAGAGAAGGTGCCTTGAATTCGATAGAGGTCAAGGGGGACTTGCAATTGAAGATTTCTGATCCAAGCCTGACCAAGGTCAAGCTAGATCTTATCGCCAACTCGAGTCATGGTGTACAATTCCGAACACATCCCAATGTTGACAAGGCTCTCTTCAACAGCTCGAAGGCGGTTCAAATGACCAATGCTACAAAGGGATTCCCAGTCAATAACTCTGTTGGTGTCCTTCGATGGAGAGCTGTACCCAAGGCAGACGATTCCAGTGCTCTTCCCATATCATTCACTGTTTGGGTGAACAAGGGCTCTGACGACAGCTGTAACGTTACCGTCGAGTACGAGCTCACAGGCGGTGATACCTTGAAGGATGTTGCTGTCGTTATCCCCTATGCCACAAGCGAGCCTGCTGTCTCAAGTTTTGACGCCACGTATGAGGTTACCGGAGATAGCTTGGAGTGGACAGTTGGCACAGTAGATGAGGACAACGCAACTGGCTCATTTGAGTTTGAGATTCAAGCCGACGACGAGAACGAATTCTTCCCCATGCAGGTCAGGTTCAGCAAGACCAAGCCTTTCATCGATGTTGATGTAAGCTATCCCATTTCGTATTCACCTGTCCCTGGCCTAATGCTTCTATCTAGGTCACCAATGTTACGCTGCTTGAGATGGACGAAGCTGTGACCTTTTCTAAAGAAATCAAATCGGTCGCCGACTCGTACATAATTGAGTGACTTAATGGATTTGGAGGGGGCAAAAGCTTGTGGGATTTGGAGCATGGCGTGGGGATGGCATTATCTGTGCGTTAGATGAATTACGTACTTGAAATCGTAGACAATCAACAAAATTCATATGAATACCCTGTGAAAAGTAACGATGCGCGGAACTCGTGTTCTCCAAGCAGACTTGTTGTTTGAAATGTGATCCGCCCAGCTCGCTTGGAACCTCGAAAGATGCGAACCTCCGGACGCGTCCCATTGGCCCTTTCCTAGACAGCATTTCCCTTCCCTCAGTACGACATTCTAAACATTCATAACATGCGATATGGTCGATCTGGGAAAAACAGGCAGATAATCTAATTCGCACCCTTAACATGGCGGAGCCTCAAGGATTCCACATCTTGAGCGAAAAGATTCTCCACCATGCAGCGAATCCGGGTCTCATTACCTACTGCCCGTCCATGGACTTGGTCGCTCTCGTCACAGCAGACCAACAAGTCTTGATCTATCGTCTCAACGGCCAGAGAGTCTTCGGGGCTATACAGAGAGCCAGCAATCTAAGAGTGGAGAGCATTCGATGGAAACCGAACGGTGTGTAGAACTTACTCCCCATACAAAGGTGATGCCAAAACCAGACAGCTGACTCTTAAACAGGGCAGCTGCTCGCTATTGCCTGGAGCGACGGATCGGTTCGAATAGTCAGCGCTGAAAGCAGTAAAACCGTGCTCCAATTCTCTACTGGGGAAGGAGTAGGAGGCGTCACGTGTATGGGCTGGGCGACGAATTTGATCAGAAGAGCTGGCTCATCGAGCTCCAGGACTGGGACAGGCTCTTGGGAGACCTTTTTGTCCTCGAATAGGGAATTCTTGGACGAGAAAGCGCCTCTGGATTTGCCACAGGATCTTTCTCTGATCGACATTGAGACCAGCCTGCCAAAACTCAGCGTCCTGGCGGCAGGCGGGAACTCGTGAGTCAGATTGCACGGCGGTCAGAGATTCCTGCTAACTCGTTTCTAGTGACGATGTCTTCTCCTCGAGACTATCTCTTGATGCCCTGTTTCGTCCATTTGATCCCAAGGATGACAATTTCGTCAACGTGATGGTCGTGGGCACCAGGGAAGGCAACATCCACCTCAGTATTTACGATTCATTTGAACTTGGAACATTTGTCTCTCCAATTAATATCGATGGAGCTCCTTGCCAGCTCATACGCCATGCATCCAGTGGGCAACTCTCTACACATGCCTTACTCATGGAACCACCAAGTTCCACAGGCTCACTCTACTTTGTCCCGATGGACCTCCGATTCATTTCGGTCTCAAGCGACTACTTGTCACTCTTTGCCTCCCGCTCTACCGCCCTGAATAACCTTCTGAGATATATTCATCAGGTCCAGATTCTGATGGTTGGCGAGTGGAAAGCAACTCAGGATCTACCAAGCAAATTCCTTCGAAACATCAACGAGACACTTGAGGAGAAAGATGACAGAAACATCATCCAAGCACTATACCACTCCGTGGCTACGGGTCACACGCTTCCAACTGTGCGAGAATGGCTTGTCGATGAATTGTCTGAGAGAGTGAGCTGACCGTTTGAACCATCATCTATTTTGGGCTAACAATTGTATAGGGTCACAAACGATGGGACAAAGCCGTTACAACAGGACTAGAAAATCTAAGGCGTCTTGTTCATGAAAACATGCTGCCCGCCTTGGAACGATGCTCTATCATACTCAGTAGACTACTAGGAATAGTCAAGTTCCAAGGATCGAACAGTTCTATGGGCTTCACCACTCGGCAGATCAACCTGATCATGGATACTATTGCTTGTCTCCATCTTGTATGTTCCAAGATTCTAATTCAAGTCATTGACGACCTCGAGCTTTTCGCTTCATTCTCTACATGGCTGCGTTTCGAGATCGATAAGCTTGCGTCAAATTCGTCGGCTTCTCCAAACGAGGATACAGCCGAGAAAGAGTCATCAATTGATCACAGTAAAGTGTTGCTGTATCTGCAGACCAGCTTGAAGTCTAGCCCTTTGGCACTTTACTTCAACGACTCGCCATCTGAGGATCAGAAGGACAACTGGAGTCATTCCACGTATGGGCTCCCAATGTTCGATCTATTAGATTCACAGATTCAGAATCAAGAGAAAGGACGGCCTCACATCAAACCTTTACCCAGAGTCGACCTTCTTTGCAACTATCTCGATGAGCAGGCCCGTGTGATCTTCGGTCAAATCGCAGAGGCCGAAAAGAGGAATGTTCTGTTCGGAAAGCCACAATCTATTGGATTTGTCGAGGACGGCGGGCCGATGGACATGCGGATGAGAAAAATCGTGAGTCTTGTCCACCACCTTGTGGCCATTTACTAACCTATAGCAGGAGGGTCACCTGTGCCAAACCCATGTAGCTTTTGTACCCAAAGGATCACCAAGTATCGGTACGTAAATTTATCACCTGGCCGGGCTTTGCTAAACTGTTCCTGAAGTCCAAGTCGTTCGAATACTGCTCTCAATCGAAAATGGCGTCAGTTCTGCGCACAGCAGTACCTCCTCAGCCGTCCACCTTGGCGACGGCCAAATCCGAGACATCAAGTTCTCTGACGACAGCGTTCTGTTCGTCTTATGGGAGTTAAATGGTGAGCTGATGTTTTATGGTAAGCGCAACATCGTTTCAAGCTGATTATTACAGGAACCACAAAACTATTGAGTATCCCTTATGATGCAATTCCCGGAACTGGTATGATGCAGGGAGAGAATTACCGGATGGAATATTCTCCGCAATTTCACCCGACACCTGCGAAATTGAGCAACGACGAGGTAGTGGGCTTCTTTTCCCGACATAGACTACCAGGAGACAGCGCATTCCTCCCGGAGAAGATGGAGGTCAGAGAGCGATCTTCCAAGAACAGCGAGGACGAGTCCAGAAGGTTATTTCTCTTAGGAAAAGGTCGAGTGCACTACAAGATCCTGAAGTTTGTGGCACCAGGCTCTATGAAGGAACGCAAGGACGAGGATATATCGATGTCGTGATAGCTATCCGTAAGTTGCCCATAATCTTTCTTTCTTTCTCTTTTCCCTCCAGAGCCTCCAGCCCTGTGCTTGGCCTTCGGCGTATCAAGCTCTACCAGAACCTGGGCCGGCTCTCGTCTGTCAGGGATCATAATTAACTTGCATGTCCTAGGTCTGACCAACAATCCGTCCTCGCCTGCGGGTATCTTGATGCAGCGGCATTGTGCATCTCAGTGGGAGTCATTTGCAGGGCATCTAGCGAGGTAGAGTTAGGTGCTGTATGGTGTCCAACTACGGGTGGTGTCCCGATACGGCAGCGTTGCTTTACACGCTAGAGCTGCAGTTCGAGTGTAGGGCTACACCGGAACTGCTAGAGCCTGTTACGAGAAAAAAAAGTGTACTCTCATCTCGACGTTCTGAAATGTTTTGTTTCTTGTGGCCCTCTCTTTCGCTTGTGTTCGTTGTTTTCGCACTTCGTTTTGCTAGGCTTGATTGATGCAGTTACTATTGCTTTCGTGACAAAAGTACTCAACACAAGAATGCACCTGACTGGGTGGGCGTCCCGCTGTTGACTGGGTGCCGTACGTGGTGCACGGGAGGAGGCATTACACGGCGCCCGTGGTATTCGTGGAAGGGAAGAGGGCGGCGGGCATGGGGTTGCTGGGGGCTGCTGGGGGTGGCAGAGGGCGGATGATCGTGGATTGAATGTGTCCCAGTGTTCCTGATCGCTACTTCTGGATCGTATCAAGAGCAGTCGAAGGTTTCAGCTGTCTACTTTCCCTATCTATCTATCTATCTATCTATCTATCTATCTATCTATCTATCTATCTATCTATTCGTCTGTCTTATGATGAATACTAAGGTACCTACCCTGCTGCCGAGCTTGGGGGTATAAAATTCGAAAATTCGATTTTTATACTGCAGTGATACGCCTGCCTTCCTTGTTAGCTTTCGTTTACGCGAGGAACGAACGGGAGGGAGGGGGGAGGGAACAAAGATGGCAAGAAAT